TGTGAATATCAAACCCTGTGAAATATGTGACTGTTGCCCAGACAATAGGTTCTGATGCTTTGTTCCTGAAACTAGCTGTACATGTTATTCTTGCTCTTTAACAGTAGTAGATTTATATGACTTATGGGTGTGCCAACAAGAGCTTTTTATTTCACAATGGGGGTACACCTTTGAAGCAAATCGTTGTCTTCCCAGTTTGTCACTTTGTGACATCATTAGCTGTGTGTCCTGGTGGAGGGACACCCCAAGGCAGTGTGGATGCAGGAAAAGTTACAATAATCAATCATGTGTTTGTTTTTGTAGCAAATAATTAATTACTTGGTTGCATGTACTGTTATCATATGTATTGAGGGAGATAAAATACACCTTTTCATCCATTTTGGATAATGTATGCCTTATCATTTTAATGCTTTCTGGGGTCAGAAGAGAGTGTATAAAATGCATGCTGACTTTTACTTCCCACCATCACCCCAACAAGCCAGAGATTGTCAAGAGATCACAGTCTTCAAGAGAATGGTAGTTTTTTGAGCTCACCACATCCTGCAAATAGTTCTCTTGACAGTCTATAAATTACTGTTTTTGAGATAAGTTCTAAAATTCGGTAGAAGTGTCTACTAGCTGTTGGAAAACTATAGAAAACAAAGCCATTAGAAGTCTAATGGGACTCAATTTCTAAACACCAGAGGTGTTTTTAAAGCTTATCTTTTTGTTTCAGATTTGCAGACCACTTTATTAATAGAGACACAAATGCAGTTTTCATCTTCACCAAACTGACCTCCTGTTTTGACTCTCCATGTATCCGCTAGTAATTTTTCTACATCACTGCTAGTAAAGTGCTAGCAGCGATTCTTCTATTTCTCCTGTCAACCAAGCTTTATTCAAGTTTGACCTTCTCTTTGTCAGACAGGCATCACTCATCTCTTGTGATGTGCTAGCTTTAATATTATCTTTCAAGCGTTATACACTATTTCCCTAGAATAAGCTTCAGCAATACAACATCCTCTGGGCTTACAGAGTGTAATGTTCTGTTCTGTAGTGGCAATAGTAGCTTCTGGCTGCAGCATTTATTATTTTAGCATGGCTTAATTTGTGTCATTGTTTTGGCCAATCCACTTCTTTAATGTCCTGCTTGTATTCAAACCAGGTTTTCATCTGTTATTTCCCTTTCTTGGCAGTACATGCTAATTAAAATTGTCCACCTCAGACCTCAAACTACTTCTGACTATGGGTACTTTACACATGTTGTTTTCATGGAACAGCTGTATTGTTATCTAATTTCAGCAAGTATTTTGTCTGAAGGCTTTGCTTCCAGAAACAATGTAATTATCAGTCAGTTTGACATTCTTGCAGCCCTTTTGCAGAATTAAATATCGAAATGGTACTTTTGAGAGAATAATGAACTTTAATTCTTTTTCCTTCTTGGTGTTGTGGAATAATGCACACAAGAGTGGTAAATCAATGTTTTGACTAATTTTGATCCTAGGGTTTCCTAACAGTTCAGATTTTTAGAACTTTGTAGCAGTTATTGTGTTATGGCAGGGAGTGGAGAACTGAATTTTTGCAGTCATTAAAGGAAGAGGAGTGTATTGGGACAATGTTCTGCTCTCTGAAAAGTGCAGAAATGAAATAATGGCACAGGACTTTTGAAGGAGGTTTACAACTGGGGAACAGAATCACCTGAACCTCTCTGATAGAAATATCTCTGCTGACTGATAGATCCAGTTGTGCACTTCTGATGGTGTCACAAGGTACAAAAAGCAAAGGTCTTTCTTAACTTCCATATCCTCACTGCTAATATACCTTTCCTGCTGGAAGACTCTGCCTTTTCAGCATCATTTATGATTGTTTGGTTTTTTTTCCTCAGAAATTTGGGTATAGAACTGGTTGTCTTGTATGATTAATTTCTCTTTCATGTGAGAAGTTACAGATGGCGACATTGCTAATTGAATAAACTTGGACCATGACAATCTGAAAACAGTTTATAACAATGTAAAGTTAAACTTGTTAAAGATCTGTTAATTTTCATACCAGGTTTGAATAGTAATTATGCAGCATTAATAAACACTTGTTGGAAATTTTACTTAGCCTACATTTGAAATGATAGGTGGATATAAAATAACCAGGGGGCTTATTTGAGGGTACTGAAAATGACAAGGCCCTCTCACTTCACTCCCCAGCCATCCCAATATGTAAACCACTTTCAACAGAAGCCAAGATTTAGTGGCTATGCTGAGTATTATATAGCTTTTTAATACCTGAAACTTATTAAAGTAAACTTAGACTAATTTTGTCTAATTTCCTTCTTAGTTATGTAATTAAATGTAATTGACAGCCTTAAAAAGGGCTTGTATGCATTTTCCTTTTGCCTTCAATATTTGACATTAGTAAAAATAATTTTCAGTAGTATGTAGATAGATGACCACTCTACTCTTCATCATTCTGCTACACAGGTTTGTAAATATCAATGTGGACTGCACTGAGCTGAAATAGCAACAATTAAGGAGCAAAAGGATTCTCCCTATAATCCTAGTAAAAAAAAAAATCCTTCCTCTTATCTAAAATGGCCTGTGGTATAGAGGCACAATATGAAGGCTATTACTGGTATTTCATAATGTAGTGAACTTTCAATTAAAAATTTATGGAGAAACAACTAATTAAAGTAAGAAGGGTTAATTATATGAACCAGTGTTTCTACTGCTGCTAGGTGCACTCATTACTTTTCTAGGTTAGTATTTTGAATGTGTGGATGACTGAAGTGAGTTATATGAAGATAAGCTCTTTTCAGTAAATCATTGTCATTCAGCAGTATAATCTGAGATGTCTAGCCTTGAATCCTGATGTGAAAATACATTCAGTGGTCTCTTATATAATCACAGTTCATTTCTTATCTACATCAAGGAATGTTGCTGTCTATTCTGGTAGCCTAACAACTACTAAAGTGAATTTCTTGGTGACTCTGTATACTTCCTGATTTGGTGCTCTCATACATGCAGAAAACACTTCGAGTTCAGATTATTTCACTCATGGTGACTTCAGAAGAAGCAGTAAACAATGAAGTTTTCAAACTAATTTTGTCTTTGAAGATGCACTCAATTGTTACAAAGAAGAGATGTTCTTAAGATCTCTTTTTTGGGAAATTTGCGTCAGTCGTCCGCTTTATGTAATTTCTATTGAGAAAAGAGACCGTTAGATGAGTGCATTTTTCTTTATGTGTAGCGACTGCAAAGAAAAGCCAGTGAAACCAAAAACATACCTTTCTTCCTTCCTAATTTTGATTGTCACTCTCCTCACTAAATTTAGGCAAAATTAGGTTCCAGTAAACTAAATGTAATGAAATTAGATGAAGTTGGGTGAAACAAAGAGAGGTAAAGAAAATTTTATATATCCGTCATGCTTTAAAAATTCCATGTTATGTAGAAGACAAATCTCAACCAATTTTTAATATAACTTTTTAAACTAGTGAATTAAATGAAGAATTAATATGATTCTTTAGGTATCTGATATAAAAGCATCTACAAACTATTTAATAATTGCATTCCATGTAATCAAATATGTGGAATCAACAAATCAATACTTAGATTTATTCTGTGCTTTTATTTGTCGGTATTACCAATTTTGTTATGATGAGATATTCTAGAAAGAATGTGCAGGTTGCTTGAACAGATCGTGGTGAGGCTTCTTAAATTACAAATAGTGTCTTGCTTAAAAACTTCCTTAGTCCCCAGATTTTTCTTCACCTTTTGAACTCTACCTTTTTTTACAAATTCAAGAATTCATGCCTCTGTTGGTCCCGCTGTGTTGGTACACACTGTCATTGCTCTCCTCTCACTGACGTCCAGATGCTGCTCCAGCCCTTAGGTTTTAACTCATCTTTTCTTTAGGCCTCATAAAAGCACACCCCATCCTGTTTCCAAGGCCAGCCCTGCTTACAGTAACCTATTTCCTCCTGCTCTCCTATTTTCTCCTGCTTGTGAAGTGCTGCAATAATTTTGGAGTGGGGAGATTAGATGCTCATTTTCATAGATCTAGTCAGTCAAATGCTTTGATCTTGTAAGCAACCTCTAAAACTAGTGGCAGAATAGAGCATTTTAGCTCCCTGATTGTCACTACTGCCCACTATGCAGCTTTACAGTTGCCAGTATATTTTTGATTTATGTGTTTGAATGTGATTTTTCCTGTATATAAATGGGTTTAAGAGTTAAATGTGGCCCATGTTTAAGGTGTAAATTGCTATTTTGTAGTGTATGCAACTGAGATATCTCCAAACATTTTGAGAGAATCCAAACTATTTAAAGGATCCTTGAGCACTCCCTTTAGGGAAGTGGGAAGATCAGTAAGGTGACAATTAAAACAGCACTGTTTCATGTATGCACTGTACTGTAAAGTGCAAATGTGACAAAACAATAAAACAAGCGTAGCTTTTTCTGTCAGCAAATATTTTCTGTCTGTAAATTTTCACTCTTGCATAAAGCAATTTAGAATGATATATATGTATGTATGAAATATTCTTTCACAATTGTAGTTCTGTTGGCATTTGGGGAGTAATTTCTGTCATTTTATGAGTAGCTATGATAGAATTGTTACAGTTCAGGAGCTGGGTTGAGGCTGTGGTGTTTGTATCCTTAGAAACACTTTCATTTTCCTTGAAAGTAGAGCATTATTTATTTGAACACTGCAACTGTATTAACTATATATTCATTATTATTAAAAATAGATTATCTAAAAAAATAAAATTAAAAATCACATAGATATGGAGTATAATATGTGAATTATAGTCCTTCATAAGTGGGAGGGGTCCTTATCTACCAAGAACACCTTTTTGCTTTGTCACTTTAGTTAGTGACAGTGATCTTGCCACAATTATACAGCTAAGCTCAGGTGTTACTTGGGTTCTGGTCTACATTAACAGATGAAAACACTGACAGATTTTATAGTGTAAGATTTTTTTCAGAGACTGATTTTTCTAACCTATATTCTCCTTCTTTCCAATTCTCTTTCAGATAGCGGTTCTGTGGATGAAAAGGTTTAAAATCACCTATTTGCTATAGGGATCATGTATTTTGTTGATGTTTGTTTGTGACTTATTTGACCTGTTTTGTTCCTTCATTTTAGTTGTGAAATCTGCATGTTTTTTTTCCCAGCTTTCCACTCTTTTGTTCTCCTTTGATTGTATTGCAAACGTGTTGCATTTATATACAGGGTAACCCTCACTGTTGTGCTTACCATAATTGCCAACACAGGGGTCTGCTACTGTCAAACATGATATCTGATTTTTGCCTCTAATTAATCACCTACCCTGCATTCAATACAGGATTTAAAGGGCAACAGTGTTTGGGAGGCAATACCTTACCTTCCCGTGGGTTCTTTCACTGTGTGACACTAAATGCTGAATGCTACCAAAATGTCTCCCAAAGGAACAGTTAGTCTAGCTTTGGCCTGGAGCTGACCCTGCTAAACATTTTCATATGTCTTATATGTTTGATGCAGTTAAATTCTGTCCAAAACTTACTAAAAGCAATCAAGTAACTGTACTTCTTTTGATTTCTATTAAAGGCTCAGTTAGTAAGTGCAAGTTCCTTAGATGCTTCCAAGCTTTATGCAGTCCAAGCATTTGCTGGGTAAGTAAAAATATAACTGAGAATTTTGTTATTTGTAAATGTAACAATGTTATTTGTTTTATATGTTGGTATTTGTAAATGTTACAATGTTGTTTGTAATTGCAAATTAGTCTTCTAGCATACAGTATTTTTTCCAAGCTTTTGGTTTTAAGAAATTACATTATTTTAAAAGGAAGATAGTTTCAATGTGTACACCTTCCCCTTTTAATTTTTTTATTCCTTATTTTAGTGAAATTTTAATACATAAATAAATTAATATAACATATTATATAACATATTATAAATAAATTAATACAACCATTCCAATGCTGAGGTCAGTTAGATAAGAGATGGGCTTTTTACCTCTTTGCATATAAAATAAGTGTCCTTTGAAGCTGTAGCACAATTTTGTCTTCATTCTGGTAAATGTATAGCAATGTAATTCTAGCAATAAAATATCACTCCAATACTTGAAATTTAAAAGTAAAGGGAAAGATCTTCCAGTGGCTGAGAGTGAGTCTGGTAGAAACCTGTAAATTTTGCTTTGTTGTCACCAAATGAAATTATCTTGCATCCAGTTCTAGGGATTCCTTCCCTTTTTGAATACTTTCTTTTATTTATTTACCTTTCCAGACTGAATTATAAGACTTTGGTAAAATTTATCAGTTATAATAGTTACCTAATTAAAAGGGGTATTATCCTCTTGCTAGTGTAAGTACTTAGTCTGTAAGTGAGTACTCTGTAAGTACTTTTTACATAACTCCAATTTATTACAAAGACAAAGTGATGAGATTAAATTAATACTCATCTCCTGCTTTTCTGTCTGAAATGCTATACAATTGACATTCTGAAGTTTTTCCTGTTTGGATTCCTGTTTTGAGGGGAGATGAGTGTTGTTAAAAGGTAGTTGTGGCAATAACTTGCTTAATGTTATGTACGTGTTTCTTTGGGTGGTATACTTATGGTAACATTTGTATTTATTGCTAAACTTTAAACAAATTTATGAGTGATCTACAGCTTTTTAGTGGTGTAGGTAGTTTCCATATAATTTGTCATACCTCAAAGTGTTGTATTCCTGCCCTTTGCAGCTTCTAGGACCTTCAGAGTTGCTGTAAGAATGTGACAACACGTGCGACATTGTTCAGGATTAGTCACCAAATGCAAACCAGAGGAGAAACAGTTTTGACACCTGGTTATTGTGTAGTTTAGGACAGAGTTTTGTAAGCAGACTCTTAATGCAGGTACTGACAGTCAACTATGGTATCTGTGCCTGTAGGAAGCTGTATGTGACCATACTCTTTTCCTGTATGTATTACTTTCCCCAGCCAATCGCTTAATTACAGCTTCTTAATAGATTTACACCTTTAAAAGGTAATGTGGAATGCCTATTTTTGTGGGTTGCACACAAAAAGCAATCTCATAGGTGTAAGGAGAACTTTTGCCACTAAGGACTATACAGACCGAAACTGCTCTTTTTATTCCCTCTCTTCTACTCACAGGTTAATAAATTCAAATATTTAATCCTCTGAGAATAGGCTGTGTCAATCCCTTGTTGCAGACAGTCCTGTAACCAAGGCTGCTTCAAATGGCTGTTCAATAATAGCTCATGTTTTTAGATTAAACCTTATTTTGCTGACAAAGTTTAGGCCTGTCCTTGCCTTGCTTTGCTGACTACAGTATCTTTATTCAAGCCTCTGTTTCACTAGGCCTCCCTGAAAACAGTTTTGCAATCTTCATTTAACTTCTCATGCAGGCAAAGAATACTGTCATTTAAAAAAACATTTGTAGCTCTGTTTTAATCACACTTCCCACTCTACTCCTTCATGCAAAAACTAATGCTAATTTCTAGGATCCCTCAGTCTCTTTACTGCCAGCACGACTGACTGCAGTTAGCTATGACTCCTTCTCCCTCTTGCTCTCCAAAGGGTGCTTCCATTTGAAGTGGGTGAAGAGGTTGCTTCCCTCACAACCATTGTTACCATGCTTTATCTATGCAAAAATACCCCAGCTGACTCTCTTCTGCCTTGCTCTTCCCTCTCTGTCATTGCACAACGCTGTGAACCCACCTCATGCACCAGCACCTCCCAAATCCATGGCAGGGGACTCCAGCTCTCTGTTCTCTGCGATGATCTTCACTTGCTTGCATGACATGAGAGAACAGCCCAAGACAAGAAAGTAAAGGCAAAGACCAAAGACAGCTTTTCTGGGGCTTCTCATGAAGCTTGTCTGTTGAAAGGCAGAAGCACCACCTTTTCTGTTTTTTCCATACCAATATTACATAATATCATCTTCATTTTGTTTTTCTTCACTTTCTTGAAGATAAGACACTCTAGAGCTCACTATTTCCATCTTTTTAAAAAGTGAAAGCTGGTCAGCTGGAGTTCTCATCATGTATATGGATCCTGGGTGATACTGTTTTACTTTTTCCAGAGACCCTCTTGTTTTAATTTACTGCTTGCCTAATGAGGAGTCAGAGACTGATAATTTTACCACATGGCCTAATCCATTCTGAAATTTGCTAACGATACACAGATGGTACTGCATGCAGATGATTGCTCCTTTCCTTCAGTGGCATGTTCTCTGTGGTAAAACAAATACATTTTTCTTGAATTCTCTGACAAATTCACATATATTACTGTTAGGCAGAATATTTCCAGAAGCACCAAAAAATAGTCAATATGACAGGTTTTTTTTCCTTGCCTTGAATGATCATTTTCATCAGATTATTATGATTCCACTTCATCATCTTCTATGTCAAATTATTGCTGGGTTATAATTGGAAGTAGATAGGGGAGTAGAGAATTTGGTGTATAACCTACAATAACATGAAAAGTTTTTCCATTGCTGTGTTCTTAGTGATGAGTAAAAGAAGTTTAGTGAGATTTTAGTCATATTTTTATGTTAGAGAACAGAGTAATAGATGGAAATCCTTTTACCGATATTGCCTCTGTGTGAGCATAAGAATGCCTTATACACGATAATTTTTATTTACTGCTGATGAACTGCTCCTGAGTAGCAAAAAGCCCTGAGTTTCTTTCTTGATCTCTGTACATTTACTTTTCACAACCTCAGAAATGTTATTTTATTTCTATCACACTTTTGCTGGGTTTGTAAGTATGTCTGGAAGCTGCAATTTGGGTCTACTTTGATCTTTATGTTATTGAAAAAAAAAAAATTCTAGTATCACAACCTGGCATGGAAAAATGATTGTGTGAAAATATAAAAGAATTGCATAAACAGACTATGAATTCTTTTCCCTTTCTTAGACAATGGTGCCGGTGCATCAGAAGGAAGTGAAAAATTCTTTTCACATAATAATTGTAACATGCATAAATAAATTTAGGGCTTTCAGATGATAAACTCTTTGTTGTGGATGTAGTTTTTATATACACAGAGACAGACAGGAATTCAAGAACTGAAAAAGGTATTTGAGACAGTGCCAAACAAAGGACCATAGAAAGGAAAATGTTTGGTCTTGAAAAAGCTGATATCTCAGCTTCTCTGAGAATTTCCCAGTACTTCTGAGTTAGAATTGACAAGGTATATAGAGATCTTCCAAAACCCTCTGTGGAAAAGTTCAGGAGGATACCTGTGTTAATTGTTTGGAAGAGTCAGAGAGAATGAGGCCAATTTGTTACCCAGATCAATATGTGTTGTTTTAAATTCTGTTGGTGTGTCAGCCTTTTATTCTTTGAAGTGACTCCAAGTTGCTCTTTGTTGTTTTTTCCAAGATATATGTGAAATCTAACTGGAATTTAATTGTATGCTCAATAAAAAAGCTCAAACCAGACAAGAGAAAATAATGATGGTCACTATAGAATTATTTTAAAATGTGGTAAGTTCTGTTTTCCACAGTCATATTTGAGATGTATTTAGCTAGATACTTTAAACTTTGTATCAAATTTAATACAACAATATTCATTACATCAATGATGTTCAATATGTAATGTTGGGCTGCATCTCAACTACCAGATATACAAGAACTTATGATGGAAAGCTCTTCTTTTAATTTCTAAATCAATGTTAAAAAGTTTTAGCAGGTATTTAGCAACCTTTTGGCTACTTTGCTTTGGGTGAATGCCAGAAGGAAATGCACTGAACACACACACTGGTTTTTCAATTGGAGCACTTGCCTTTGGCTGATAACTACTAATTTTGATTTTTATCTGTAAATAGAGATATTATAAGCAGTTCTTCAGGATGTAGTCTTGTAAGCTCCATGTTTTTATTTTCTTCTTTGCCTTTTTATCTTCTTCAGTCGTGGACTGTATGGAATTGACAGCATGCCAGACCTGCGAAGAAAGAAATCTTTTCCCATTGTTCGAGATGTGGTGAGTAACTTGTGAAACTGTTGATTCATTAGCCAGTTGTGTAGGTCTTTCTTGTAATTACTACTTTGCATGTGAATGACAGTCTGCAACAGTTGTTTTATGGAAAAAGGGAGTCATGAGAGAATGGAATGAAAGCAGTAAAAGTCAATGAGGCAGTTGTTACAGTGTACTAGGTAAGTCTAAATATCTCACTGGATATTTAGGTATTACTTGTGTAATCAAGTACTGTGCGTTTCATGCAATAATAATCTACTCATTTTCACAAAGATGCTGTTGAGTGCTTGGGATACTGTTTCACTTGATTTATTTTGATACTGAAAGAGAGAGAAAGTTCCTTTTAAAAAGCAGCCTGTTTTCAGTATTAATATTTTAAAGATTTATGCATATTTTAGGTTCAAGGTGAGGTTCTCAGAGTTCTTAATAGTCATTGAAAACAAGAATAATTTAAGAAAAGAAATTTGAAAGTGGAAAAGAATGGCAGTTCCTTTGAGATTTATTCTGACTTCTAGTCTAAACAAGATTAAGTATCTCTGCACCAAAGAATTTCAAGTGCTAGTCACATTTCTCTTTTTCTTTTCCTATAGTATAGAATTCATAACTCAATAAAATACAGATTTAGTCTGTGATGACAGTGAGCCCCCTAATCAATTTCTCACTGTAAAGCAGTGATTGGGTGTTAGGCTAAGTGAATGATTACTATTGTTGTCATTAAAGGATCAGCCTTTGCCAATTATTGCTCAGTGTTTTCTCAGTTTGTGTTCACTTTGTGGTGATCCACTGCACTGTTTGAGCACTTAAATAGAGAAAGCACAGCAACCATTTTAGAGTAGAATTCCTTCCAAAACTGATGAAAAATTACACTGTACACAACAGCATAGCCTGCATTTATTTAAACCATCTTTTTGACAGCAGCCACTCCACCATTAGTTGTATTAAACGAGTATAGTCTTGTCCTGCCATGACATTTTAATGCATGTTAAATGACACTCTGCTTTATTCTTAATTGTTGGGAGTGCTGACAGAAAGGTATAGCACAGAATACATTAATACATCAAAATACATGTAAATGATTTTTATGCTTACATATGACTGCTGCTGAAAGAAATAATATTGTTAGAAATGAGTGCTAGACTCTCTTGATGCTGACTAAGATAAACATCTTTTCTATGTTGCATGATAAATCTGACAAATTAATATTCTTTATAATTTCTTTCCTATCTTGTCTGGATTCTTAAGGCTATGGTAAGTACTTTTATATTTATAAATGTTCTGAAATGGTCATAGTAACTGTTATTATTCCATTTCTGTAGAGCTTTATTATGACCTTGTATTGGAAAGTTTAAAAATTATTTTACAACCAAGAATTTAATCATAAGGGAAGTGGCGCCTTATGTGAATGTGTTCTCTGCATCATGTATACTGAAAACGTTAGAAAAAGTTTATATAAAAAAGTTATCAGTTTATTCCAAATATCTTTCCTGATGATACAAGTATGATGTTTAGGTCTGTGTAGTCCCCTGTGGTACTGGAAAGTCATAGACACCTAGAGAAAGAGAAATTCAAAGTGTTCCCTACTTTTAAATTCTCTTCTATCAATCAGATATACTTTTCCTTACTTTTCTAGTCCCTCTGGACTTCCAGTTTCACTCCATTATTTCATGCTTTCAGCATTTTATCTAAATATGTTTTGTCAAAATTCTGTATGTTTTCTTAAGATGATCTCTCTGACTCCCATTTGTTTCAATGAATTCACATTTTGAAAAATCCAATTTTCAACACTGAAGCACTGAATATGTTGAGGTGAAAGACACCCACAAGGATGATCAGGTCCAGCTCCCTGCCCTGCACGGGATCATTCCCAAGAGTTACACCCTGTGCCTGGGAGTTCAAACACTTCTGGAACTCTGTCAGGCTTGGTGCTGTGACTGCTGCCCTGGGGAGCTGTTCCAGTGCCCAGCCACTCTCTGGGTGAAGAACCTTTCCCTGACAGCCAACCTAAACCACCCCTGACACAACCTCAGGGTCTTCCCTTGTGTCCTGTCGCTGTCACCAGAGAGCAGAGATCAGAGCCTGCCCCTCCTCTTCCCCTCCCGAGGGAGCTGTACCTGCAGTGAGGTGTCCCCTCAGTCTCCCCCAGGCTGAACACACCAAGTGTCTTCAGCTGCTCCTCACACAGCTTCACCTCCAGACCCTTCACCATCTTCACTGCCCTCCTTTGGGTGCTCTCCTCCTCCTAAACCACTGAAAAGTTTTTGTATGCAAATGCATTGAGAGTCTCTGATTATTTTAGATCGAGTCATTAGAGAGGATAAGGGAGTCAAAGTTCACCTGCAGGAGCAGTTCTCTTTGCTGCAGTCATGGGTTATTATTAGACTTCTGGTAGAACATATCTGGTACAGGAGAGAGAGACAGTGCAAGGAGAAGCAATGGTTCAAGTGCAGTAACAATACAGAGAGCATGGGCAGATCTCTTGTTTACTGTGGAGACAGGAAAGAGTCCAGTGCACTTGCTGATGGAATTGCTGTGACTTCTGCTTTTAAAAAAAGATATTCTCTTTTGGATTAGTTAGGGCTTAAGCTGAGGTGAGAACAACCAGGGAGAGAAATATCAATAATTACAGTGAAGGCTAAAATTTTTTAACTCAGAGTGGCCAAGTATGGCTGGTGATCTGCTCAGCTATAGTCAAAGGTAGCTCTATGTTACTGTCTTTGCTTCTTTTAATGCCAGTCATCATTTTGAATGTTATGAATTCTTGTGTTTATTCAATTTAAAGGTGATTCTGTACTGTGTAATCACTGTAACCAGGCAAATTTCTTCTTTTGATCAATCAAGACTGTATTGATCCCTAGCTTTATTATTTGATTATAAGAACACAAGAATAATTTGTGAATTTTTGCTGCTGTTTTAAAGCAGTCTGTTGAAGTGAACACACCAGATGAAACAACTGCCTGTTTCAGCTAAAATGATAATGGACTGAAACTTTTTTCTTTGTCTCCACAATAAAAACATTTATACAGGCTGGAATTCAAATATGGTAATTTAAAGATTCATGTAAAGAAGATATTTATTTAAATTGCAGATGTCATATTCTCTGGTTTTGTATGTTATCTACATACCTGGACTATTTTACATTAATTGTGCTATCAGTAGTCCATTTTCTTAACTCCTTTAATCATTGATAGGTAAATTCAGTTATAATCCTAATAAAAATATTAATATATTAAGTAGATAAATCATAAAATAGTAAGTATTTATATATTTGTGAGGGCTTTTTCAAGTCTACTAAATGAAAATCATAACAATATCATTAACTTAGAGGCTGGTCAGATCATGCTTTTGTGTATCTGTGCTAAAGATACTAAGAAAAAGCAAATGTTACTACAGTTATGTCTGATAATGATTGTGTAGTGGGCTGAATTGTCATTTTTTTCTAAATATGTTTTCTGGGCTCAGTGTTGCAGTCCTGTTGAATATTTCAGTATTAGGCATCAACCTTTTCAATAGAAAAATTATGGTGCAGGGCTAAGTAATTTCCCTCAGTACCTTATTTCCTCTCAAGTAATTTTTTCTTCCGTCCTACCCCACCTCCACCCCAGCACCCCAAGAAATGTTACAAATCTGTCTTCTAAAATAATGAAGTTGAGATCCCTAGAGTGATATACATGCAGTTGCTCAAAAAGAAACAGTTATGAAATTGTGCAGGTTTTAAATGCTGTAAACAGTGAAATTTTTGTCACATTCACCTCTAGTGGGTAACTTTTACATCACATTAAAAATCATAATTTGTAAAGTGATAATTTTTTTTTTCCTGCTGATAGACTTTTTTTAAAGGAAAAAAGAAAAGATGATCAGGAAAACTGAAACCCTCTGTAAAAGCAGAGGAATGAGCATTGCATGGCACAGCCAGCAGTCATGAACAGTTACATGAGCCTGTTTGTTCCTCTGTGCTATTTTAGCTATGCAAGACACAGATTGCCTATTTCTTTGTGATATAGGACTTCTCTTTTTTTTTTTCCTCAACACAATTGATCATTTAACATGTAATTGTAGCTTGATTCTAATTTGCTTTTACTTATGGTTACCATTTTTCAATGTTTTTGCTAGAATGACATCTAATTATATTTATTTATTTAAGCTGCTAAGAAAAATTTGGAGGTAATAAATTAGTGTAGATACAAGTTATTAGTTAATCTAGAAGGCCTTGAGAATAAAGGAGGCTAATTTATTTTAAATGCTGTATTAAGGAGTTGCAAAACAAATTAAAAATTAAATAGACAATGGTCTGCTTTGTCATCTTCTCTTATTGTTTGAGGTTTTTGCTAGGCTTTTTGGTTTTGATAATTTTTTTTTCACATGTTCATAATTTAACAGTATGTAAGGTATTTATGCACTGCAGTTCAAATTCTTACCTAAGGAAAGAGAGACATGAGTTAGTATCTGGACATCAGTTTGAGAGGGTAAACAAGTATAAACTGCTGACAAGTTCTGTGTCCTGTTAAAGGAGACAGGTGAAATACTGCAGGTTCCTGTTGCTCTCCATATTCTTTTGATGCTCTGACGTTTTGGACTTCCTGGAAGTTCCAGCTGATGAGCTGCACTTACCTTTCTTTCTTGCTGCTACTTGAAAACAGAGAGGCAATAGGGGAAGAGGTTTTCTCGTTACTTCATAACCTGTCACCTTGTTTCCCACAGATAAATCTGGCAGCTTTTTCCCCTTTCTCTTTCCGAAATGCCCACTCCTCCTTGTTTCATTCCATACTTATGAAGTGACAGTGCTATGTGTTCAGTGCTTCGTGCTGCTGAGTTATCACCAACTTCAGTGTTTTAGAACAGAAGCATTTTATGGGCTTTCTCTTGTAGAAGTAGTGTCTTCTGACAGTGGTACATAAATTGTAATAATCCTTGTGGGTTTTTTTTTACTAAAACCCGTGTAAATTTAATCCATATGACTGTTCAATTTACTGTTTTTTCACAAATCCCTCTAGATATCGCTTTCTTCCAACATGACAAACACTTTATTAAGAACAACCTAATTATCTGTTTCCTATTAGGTTTTGTTATTTTATATAGGGCACTGTACTATAATTTCAAACTCACTTCTGATTAAGAAGCAAAATAGTAAAGCTCCATGATTCCAATGGCACCCCTTGAGAAAACCTGGCTTGAAGGACATGTGACAGGGTCAAAATTGCTTCCCCATTTTTTTTTTCTCACAGAAAATAGTATCTGTTTATTGACTTAGTGATAGCACAAAACTGCAGTTCTGCTGCCTCGTGTTCTTTGGTATTGCTGGAGGACAGAACACAGCAGCAGTCACTGCCCTATATTTGAGGTTAATGTTCTTATGCCCTTTGTGCTTCTGTCCTGACAAGTCATTCACATTGCTCTATTGCTTGGAATGGCCAGGATTGTGCAACTGAGACCTAAAAGGGTCAAATCCCTTCCTAAGTGTAAGGGACATGAAAACTATAAAACTGGTATAGTCCAGGCAAACAAATCTACATGGGTATTTGGCAAGACTTTGGGACAAAACTGTGCTTCAAGAGGGATCAAAAGGTCAATGCTTTTAAAGTACATTGTTTCAAAACCCAAAACTCAACTGATTATGAAAATTGTTAATTTTCCTCTTAATGATGCAAAAACATTTTTACTTGTCATTTTAAACTTTGATATGTGGGTTTTGTAGTATTGGGTTTTGAGACAAACAATGTGGAAAAACAAAGCCTGAACACTGTTTATTCTTTCCTGTAACTTTGTCAATCTCAGTGTCATACACCCATGGAATTTCCCACATTCACAGAAATAGAATGAAAGGGTGGTCATAGAGAAGTAAACAGAATTATTTACTTAATAGTAAAAGAATGGAGAGTCTGATAGGAAATTAATGGCATAGGGTTGGTAAATTGCTGAGTTTAAAAGAGAAAAAAAAAGGGAGGATTTTTTGTAATAGGACAGAAATGAATTGAATACAACTAAACCAAGGATGATTTCTTACCCTATAATTGGTTACACAAGATTAATAATTCTGTGTCAGTCTGCAAGTTTAATTATTATCAAGAGAAACTTATTGAAAATTGAATCAGGGAAAGTGAACATTTAAAATTAAAATTGAACTGTCTCATAAATAAATAAATAGAAATCCATTTTAAATATTCCAGTGTTTAAAATTATATAATTGGAAGAAATTGGAATTGTCTCTTCGTCCAGAGATTAATGATGCAGTTCCTTTGCTGATGTAAGCCTAAATTGCTTCTGGGCCGGTAGGTGTTTCACAAAAATAAGAATGTCACACACAAAGTATCATTTAAACTTTCGCTGTAATGGTTCTGTAATAAGGGACTACAGAGACCCACTTTACGTTTAGGTGAAAATATGTATCCTCACAACAAAGGCAACAACAGACTTATGGTTAGTGGGTGGTATAATTGATCCATACACTGCTAGACTGTGAGGGCAGCAAAGCATGACAAAGCAGACAGTGGATGACAGAAGAACAGAGATAAGATACAAGTGTACAAACATGCTTGGAATGATTTAGAATAAGCGAAAGGAGGAATGAAAACAACACTGCAGGTGTAGTCCAGTAATATAACAGTGTTATGGTTAATATTGTGCACAGTGGAATAAGTCTCATCTGCTCTGTCAGACCAAAAGGATTATTGATAGCAGAAGTAATATTCAGATTTGAAATACTATTTGTAAAACACACAGACCTCATTCCCCCAGGGTCCTTTCCGATCATTATACTCACTAGTTAATTCTCAAGGACCCATTTAAATTTCTGGAATGTTGCAGTAAGGAATATAAAATTTCCCTTTTTATTGTGTACTAAAATTACTTTCATTTGAGTCCCTTTGTATGTACCATACTAGAGCAAAAGAGTTCATCTCTACAAGTGTGTTGTCTTCAGAACCAGAAGCTGTCCATATACCAGTAACATTATGTGGCCAAATGAGGACAGATTGACACAGAACTCTGGTCTCTTTTCCTTTCTCAAATAACCAGAGTATTTCTCCATATAGCTATCCATAGCATTGAATTAATAACGTCTTTAAGGAAAATAATACTTTAAGATTTCTTGAGGTCTTTTTATTTAAGTAGCATTCTATATACATGCACACTGTTTAAAAATGTTCAGTGAGTTACAAAAAATTATCCAGACTGTCAACTTGAACCATAAGACTACTGCAAAATGATCTCCCTTGTTGCTGCAGGCACAGTCAGCTTCCAAATTAGGGCAGGATGCCTATCCTTGTACCACATTAATTTGGTTGGCAAAGCAGAAAAACAGTGACAGCCTGTGGTTTAAAAAAACTGAATCACAAACCTCTGAATAACAGGTTTTGTATTAGAAATGTCAGTTCATCTTGTCACTGTTGAAAGAAACGGTAATGATGATGGAAAGTGTACTTCCATTATGCGCCGAAACCCTAAAAATTGTGAGCTGCAAACATTAAATAAAAGGTTTTGTATCTTCTAGAGTTTTGTTTACATCCAGTAGCATATTCAAGTACTGTGTGCCTTCCATTAGATTCAACAGCAGTTGTTACTTGTATAATTGGCAACTCTTTTGCATTTGCCTTAAACAGACACTTGCAGCTCGAAAATCTGGTATTTCCATGGCCATGCTCATCCGGACCTCCATAAACACTGATGAAATGGTAAGTGTTTTCAATGACAGCTTTAAGACTTTTAAGTAACAGAGAAATTTTTGTTCAAAGATCTCTAAAATTTATTTCAGCCTTACACACCCCAAACTGGATGAAATGGAGTGTATTCCATTTATTGTGTAGGAACTTCCAGACAACTTGAGCAGAATTTGCTGCCTGATCCACTGTAGCAAAATCAGGTTTGCTTCTGCTGACTCATATCCATGACAGTCAGAAGGGACTAACCAAGAGACCTTTGATTTAAAAAACAGTTATTTTGGAGAAGCCTTTTGTTTTAAGTTGTCCAACTGTACCATGTTTACCTACAGTCTTTCATCATCTTTCTATCTTCATCACACTCTGAGTGCAATTAGAATGACAGGGCTCTGCACGATGATCATTTTTTCCCAGTCCTTGGGATACTATTTCATTTTTTTAATGTAACTCATGCTAATAATATATGTGATTCCAGAAGAAATATTTAATTCATGCAAGAAGTTACCACAAGAGTCTTTTGAAAAAGCATAGTCATAGCTAATAAAATGTGTTTTCCATTACTGATTTCACTTAAATTTGAAAAGGACTTTTTGTGAACAAAAACGCAGCAAGTGCCATTTTTTTCAGGAATACTTAAAGTGTGATGCAAGATTTATATAACTGAACTAAAAAAAAGCAATAATTTGAAGAAATGCAGGCCCATTTTGTGTCCCTCAAATTGCTAGTGAATACACAGCCTTCTAAAATACATCCTATTCTGAAGAAAAATGAAGAGTTGAAATTTTCTTACATTGTTGTTAAGGTCCATAGCAGGAGAATGGAAGAACAGAAAATACTGACAGGTGTTCTGGGAACTGGAACACGTAGCACAAATATTAACATGCATCAGTCTTACCTGGTTTATTGTGAACTTTCTGTGCTTATATGGTAATCATAAAGCTGTGATTTGGTGGTGCTTAGAGATGGATTGGTGAGGCAGAAAACGGCTGGTGGTTGAAATGTTCCTCCAGTAAGGGCAGTAGGTTTTTTATTCTGCTATCTCAAAATAGCAACAAAGGTTGACAGAATGGAGAACTATGACTTCTGAAACAGTTCAAGGCTGAGGGAAAATTACAGAAGAAAAACTTAGGGCATCCAGGTGCTACAAAATAAAAGAGTTTTTTCAACTTTGTTATAGTTTGTGCCAAAATAACTGAATTCAGTAAAAGACCCTAAAATACTCCATGTACTTTACTAAAAGATGTTTACTAAACAAACCACATTGTATATAAGTATTACTACCTTTTATGAAAAAAATTATAGATTCATCCGTTAATTTACATGCCTCCTCTCATGTAAAAACGACCAGGCTCTGACTTTAAAGGGCTAGAGTTGCAAGTGTTGGAGATAATATTAATTGCCAACAAATGCAGGAAAAGAAAGAATAATTTGGACTGCCCTTAGAGGTTCTTACATAAATGGTCCTGTTCAGGAGGAAAAAAAAGGCAGCAAATCCCAGTGAGCAGCTGAGTGCAAACATGTCTCCAATGCTTGCATCAACCAAAGTAACTACTGAACTCTGATTCAGGAGAAATTGAAAGGGAAAATTCATTTGAATGTATTTTTATAACTCTATATCCTTTTGCCTCTGTTTGAGCCATGCCATATGAAAAACAGTGTACCAGAAGTAGTTAGTTATTTCTTAAGAAATCTTGAAATAAAAATGTAAGTCCAAGGGCAGACAGCAAATGACAGCAAAATAAACACATGAAAGTTCATTTGATGAGAAAATGTAAAAGGCTAATTCAGAGTAGAGGTGAATAAGAGAAGCCAGTCCTATGCCAGACCTCACTACACATACCAAGGGGCAGGGATTGCTCTTTCACAGACAAATGTAAGAGTACAACCAGTAAAGCTTCTTGCAAGATATTTAAAACAAGGGATAGGCACTATTTTTCTACTTCTCCAAGTAGACAGCCAAATTTAATAACCTAGGGCATCGTTACACTGATGAGCAAGATTTGAAAACAAAAAGGGTTTTCAGGCATAAAAGAAGTCTCCAGATACTCTCCACAAAATGAAGATGTGAAATGCAGATGAAGAAATGGGGTCACCAATGAAAGTTAAGGAAAAAAGATCCCCTTTGGGCAAGTTATTCCTCTTATTAAGGCTTTTCTAGTTTTTACCATCCCTCAAATTTTTCTAGAGGGAATATTGGTGACTCTGGTGGGTGTGGGTTATGTGGCTGATCAGATTTACTATGAAATGAAATTTCTTTGAACTAACGCCTTTTATTTAAACTCAAGTGCCACCTACTCAAAAAATTACACCCTGAGGTTAAGGCTTTGAGCTTTGCCACCTGTCACTGCTATCTTTTTTGGTACAACACACTCATGGCACAGTGAGTTTGTGTGTTCTCAAGCACAGATCCAAAGACATTGTCAGTATTTTACTTATATGCTTTCATAGGGGTACCCATTCAATTGCTTTGTTGAACCAAGAACTATACATTTTTGAAAATTATACATCAATGACATAGACAAGTATTTCAAATAGTATATGATAGAAATAAATTTCCCTTCAGAGGATAAGCAGATAACTAAATAATTATCCTATATATTGGTAGTGCTAAATGTTGCCAAACCAATTATTAGTTGTATAGCTATATTGGAGGTTATTAGTGCCATGTTGTTATGCTCTGTAATTCACATAACAAAAACATTTAAACAGAGGAGAGTAATAGAAATGAAGCCTCTAGACAGTAAGAGAAATAAAATTCTCCTTTGCAATTTTCTTTATTAACAACAGGGGAAAGAACACGTTCAGCAACAAAACCAATCTACAGACTGTGTCTTTCAGCTGAAAACTTTGTTTACCCTCAAATGTTTATTTTAAGGCCTGTTGAGGGTAAATTTCATTACTTACTGACATTTCAGAAAAACGTAAAAGTTACTGGCAAAATTCTAAAAGTATTTATAATGTGAAAAATATTGAAGCTGGACAGGGTGAAAGGGCAAGATTTGTACTGAGGCTACATGAGCTCAGGAATGGGAGATGGTAATCAGTGGTTTCTGAGAAATCCAATTCCTCAGCAAGCTGTATAAATTCACTTTAGGTTGTTTTAAAGTTTCTTTTCTGGTCCCTGTAACATGGAAGGAAAAATGGAGTAATGTTAAAAAATTAGTTCCCCAGAGTTAGGTGGCCAGAGTTAGGTTACTATCACAGTTCTTAGGGTCTGCCAAATCAAACTGGTATACACCTTTGCTTGCTTTCAGGGAAGTTTATTAGGATAAGCTAAGAAGCACCCTGGAGAGCAATTCAGTATTTGTTTTAGTCTTTCCTGCTGTATCGGGGTTTTTTTCTTAGTTCAATTCTACAGCGTTCTCAGATGTGTTCAGATCAAATGTCCATGAAATATCTCACCATATATCTTTGGCCAGACTTTACAGGATGGATATTGTTTTTAGCAGTAACTACTAACTTCAGTAAGAGCTGTTGCAGCCTAAGCTACCTAACATTTGGTTTTGGTATTTTTCGTGCTTGACTCTGAAGCAGTGGCTACCATATGGCTACGTGGTACTGGTTTTCCCATGGTAGCAAAAGTCCTCTGATTCACTCTCTGCAACATTATGCAGATATGCACACAAATAGAATATTTTACTTTTATCAGACAGTCTATTATTAGTAGAATATCTCACAAGTTTGAGTAGAGATGCAGGTACATAAAACCAAGAATGTCAGCATATTTTTAGACAGGTTAATACCTTCCTTTTGGCATACAATTGCCACAGCTGGCTATTAAAGATAAGGGAGTGTTAACAAATGCTTAACTGAGTAAGTTTGGTTTGCTTCCTATACTGTCAGAACTGTGGCAGTGATGTTAAAACAAAAATAGACAAACCACACAAATTCCAAAATCTTATTCCCTTGCTACAGCTGTATAGCCAGCATTAGAGCTACCTTGCATAATATACACCAGAGGAGGACAAGGTAGGACAGACATATTTCAGAAATATCCCGCTGTGATTTGTTTTATAATGTGGTTTCTTCCTTCTAAAAGAAACAATTATTCATTTATAAGGGGATGAATCTAGAACTTCTAATACATCCATGGCAGTCATGTGCGTGTTTAGTGAACACTCATCCCTAAAAAAGACACAAACAGCCTAAGCTTGGTGCAAAGTGCTGCCTTACAGCTGCTGAGCTCTTCTTATTCCCAATAAATTGCCTGGACCTAGAAGACCAGGATGCCTGAAAAAAAGTTCAAACAAACAGTCAAGAGCACTGTGCCCATATAAGCCAAGCTCTGGTGTACAAACTACTGGCACTGCTTTGTTTTCATTTTATTAAACACTAAGGAGCTGAGACTGAGGTTGTTACGGTACAATCAGCAAAAAGCCAATAACTGCTCTTGTAATAGAGCTTGTCATGGGTCTTAAACCAAAATAGTCCAAGAAATGGGTTTGGAATTTTGAGACTATGGATAATTCTTGTCTATAGTAAAAAGCAACTTTGCTTTAAAAATGAAGCAGTAAGTATGCTGTTATAGGAATATAGATAAAATGAAATTTTATGATTTACAATTGGCTTGCTTTTGTTTGATGAGATTATATAGACACCTGGTATTATAGTGTTGTATATAATCATTGGGCATTTTGTGCAGTGTGTCTAAGTCCCTATAGGAAGTATTCAAATATTCAGAATTAATGTTAATTAGCTACTTAAGATGCCCCAATGAATGTAAAAATTGGTGGTTTTTTTCTGCCTCAAATTATAAAAATATATATAAAAGACTATGTGTTAATTGAGTAACTTGATTGCAACTTTACTGTTTGTGTAATCAGACAACACAGTCATGCAGAGTTCTTTTCAAAGTGTAAAGCAAAATGAGTGAATCAGGATTTTGCAAATTATTTTTTGCTTCTATGTATATTCTGATATTTTGTAAAATTTTAAGTGTAAATGGCATATAGTTTAGAAACAGTTCACTTGTGTTAAACAATAAACCTGAAGTATTTTTTTCCTTGCCCAACAGAAAATGCATGTCTTCAAGAAGACTCTGCAGGCTTTGATCTATCCAATATCATCAACTACACCTCATAACTTTGAAATTTGGACAGCTACAACTCCCACATACTGTTATGAATGTGAAGGCCTCCTTTGGGGCATAGCCAGACAAGGCATGAGATGCACTGAATGTGGTGTCAAATGCCATGAGAAGTGCCAAGACCTCCTAAATGCTGACTGTTTGCAAAGTGAGTATTTCATGACAGCTGAAGTGCTGTATTAATTCACACCTTTTGATTTTCTGTGTATGCACAGCAATTGCTTGAAATGAGGGACCAGATCACCCAAAATCAGTGAAGATGTGTTGCTGCTCCTTAATTGAGAAGCTAGCCAGAAGTTTTATGGAAAACCTACTGTTAGTTTTGTTTTTGTCCTTGAAATCTGTCAAATGTTGCTGGGCATTTACAAAATAATGCTTGCCAGCATTAGTGAATTATTTACCTTCCACTGCCTATGGCAATATCTGGAGCAATTTTTTACTTGACGTAAACCCTCTTTGTTTTACTTAACTCAAAACACAAAAAAGGTCAAAGGAAATATTCAAAAATATTCCTACTACTTACTGTAGTCATATTGATGTGCTATATATTAGTCAAAAATATGGAACAGTAAGTAGGATCTTGTCCCTTCAAAATACTAAACTCTTTATGTGTAAGGGAAAGAAAAATTAGTCAGTAAGCCATTTGGCACTGGAATTAAGGCAAAACAACCTTTGCTTTTTCCTTGCTCAGCTTAGATCCAGCCACCATGCCCCATCCTGTGAAAATATATCAGCTGTATTTAAACAGTTCTTAAATTATAACACAATTATTATACGAGATGCTAAGCAATAGAAAATCAAGACCTACAGGTTTTCTGATATTCTGATTTTGGAATGGAATGGGATTCCATACTCTGGAGCTATTCAACACTGTTCACTGTTGATATGTTCCAGAGATTCTACATGTGGGAAAACTCCATAGATATCAGTTCTATCAGAACTACTCAGTTCTTGGTTCTTTACACTGTGTTCTCTGTGTGAGAAGCTATCACAAGGGATGGATGCTCAAGGTTTCTACTGCTCAGGAATTAATTAAAATTTCCCACAACAGCTGACCCCATGGAGAAAAAAAATCAGTGATGAATTTCTAAATCAAACTCCCTAACTGCTTAATTGTGATTCTGCACTATGGTTGAAACTAGGCTGTTGTCCTCTGGCCCATACCACCAGCCAAAAAAAAAAAAAAAAAAAAAAAGCATTAAAAAATGATTCAGAGTGCCATGATGTGTTTGATGAATTTTCACAGATATTATATTATATAGAATGATAAGTCTGAGAGCATGCAAAAAATAAATAAGATTGTCGGTCAGCTGTAGTATGAACACTTTGAAAACATTGAACATTGAGTCTTAAAAGAGTAAAACCTCAAAAAGACAAATTACAGCTAAAACATTTAACATACATAAGGGATCCCACTCTTCTCATTAGGATGCAAAAGTTTCTGAGCATCCTGTTGTATTTTTTGCAACAGATTAATTTTTCAGTGTTCATAGTATACTACTTAGAAAATTTTATGTTCCTTGTTTTCCACTGAAAAAATGAGTTGACCGACTGGTTAAACCTCTATTTCTGAGAAAGCTGATGCTAACAGTGTCATAAAATGAAGTACAGTTATTTTTATCATAGTCATCCTTTTGCTCATCTCATAATCATTAGGATGTATTGGCCTTCAAACTTCTGTGATTTATTTTTTTTAATCTATAATGATTTCTAATGTAGACTGTAGAAATTAATTCACATCTCAAGATCATTAGGGTCAATATATAAACTTGTTCTAAATTAGATTTAGGAAAAAAACAGTAACACTTTCATTAGCTCTCTCATCTTCAACAAGATACCCCTTTCTAGTACTAGGTGCAATATTAAATTAGAATTGATTTCAATCATGTTGAGTTTCTATCAGTCCTTAGGGCAAAAAGATCTTGTTAACTTCCTGGGCAATGTAAGTTACTCTATTGTCTTAATTAGTTTGATCAATACTGCATGAAAAAAGTTGTTGATGGACAGCAGTAGAGGTTGTCAGCAATAGGGGATATAAAACTAGTTGCAATAAATGAGTATAAAGTTGTTTACTTAAAGCAAGTTATATTTTAAAACATATTTCAGTTTTATCTGTGATGTCTCAAAAACAAGCAAGGTTTCTAACAGGAATATGTTACTGCCATTCAGACTGTATCCAATATTTGTCATTCAGTTATGTTGTATTTCTACTTTTTAAGGAAGGGCAGAAAATGAAAAGTTCCCTCCTGCATCTTTTAAGAATGACCTATTGTGTTTTCCAGGCAGCTCAGCAATCATATCTTTTGTAATAAAATATAATTCTCTAAAACTAGAGAATTTTTTAACTGATATTTTGTTTCATGGTAGCACATAATTCTATTTCTACTTGTTCCTAATTTTTCAGTCTGGGTAATTTTTAATCACTAGAATTTTGGTCTTCCATATTCAAAAAGATTAGGTACTCTGACCAAGAGATTTTCAAGATTTCTCAAGATGTAGTAGCCATGGAAAACTCCTTGAAGAAGCTACATAATTCAACCTTCTGGCAGTCTGGGATCACTGCTATTTGGTATTTCAGCCCAAGCTTTTCCAGTCTTATAGCACTATGCCTTCCCTCTACATCTCTCTCTATACATAGATATCAGTTGCCCTCCAATGTGCTAAGAAACCTTCAGACACATTGAAAACTGAAGAAAACGAAGCATATAATATTTGTTTGTAACACTTCACTGAAATCTTATGCTGAAAGAGGACCCATTCCAGCTCTATAGAGTTGATAATTTCTTCTTTAGTCATTGTGAGCTGAGTGCCTCAATAAAAACTCCTTCATAAAGAACATATAGGTGTTTGATGGTATTGTGAACAAGGAACTCTATGCTTCTTCAGTGTTGAAATATCCAAATTATAATTGCGCAACAAATTGTTCGAAAGTATTTTGTTTTAATTTTGCTAGTCCTCTAAAAGTAACAATAATATTTTAATCCTCCCAGGATTTGAGGATGGCTAGTTAGATGATGTTTTCATGACTTTTTGGAAGAGTGAAGTACTTACTTCTGTTAATGATGATGATTCTGGCATTCAGTGCCACAAGATTTTGAGTAGTGTTTAACAGCATGAGCCAAAATTCAGCAATGCCTATAGCAAGTGGCAGTGTGTCATTGATTATAAATTTTCTAGTGTTTTTCTATCTTGCTTTATATGTTAATCTCATCAAGAGTTGAAATAGCCTGTTTAGCACCGCAGGAATTTAAATTTTTTGCTTCCTACCATTCTGATCATACAAGTCTGATGTTTCTTTTCTCACACTCAACTGCAAGGTTGATCTTCGAGATTTTATCAAGAATATATTGTAGAGGCATTGATCAGAAACCTTTTCCTCTGACAGAAAAAGGACATTTTATAAGGTGAACTTCACTTTGTTTTTGGAAGGGCCTCTAAGATCAGTTAGAGAAATCTCTCCAGAGCTCTTCCGAAAAGAACTTTGAACAAGATCTGTAACAGCTTGGTCGTCTTAAAATAATTCTTTCTTCAATTTAAACCAATAAATGTTGTAGTGGTTACGATGTCCCCAAAAAGTTACCTGATTATTTTCTGCCTAACGTGCCACCACAAGCTAACACAGTCTAGAAGTATTCTCACACAGATAATATCACTTGATCTCTTCTACCACCCTCATATACTTACTGAAATTATCAGTAATGACCCTTTAATTGGAGAGGGGAGCCTCTCTGTTCCATACCTGTGATATATTATTTTCTTGGAAAGGTTCTCTTTTCCAAAGTCTCTAAGTTTAATACCACAGGTATGGTGTCTAATGATTGAGTTTTGAGATCACAAATTTATGCTTAGTATGCATGTTGAGATGTTTCCACAGTACTGATTGGCACTGAATAATATTGATTTGATAAATAATTTTATGTATAAAAAGGTGAATATTAATCCCTCATGTTAAACAAAATCAACTTATAATTTTAGATATCACAAAGAATATATATGAAATACTAATTGGGTGAAACAAAAATCTCCTTCAGGTGCTGCTGTACCAAGAGCTGACTGGAGATCCTACAGGGGAGTAAGAAAAAATGAATTTTCCATAACTGTGGTGACCTTTTCTCTCATTTCAGGAGCAGCCGAGAAAAGTTCCAAACATGGTGCAGAAGACAAAACACAGAATATTATTAGTGCTATGAAAGAAAGAATGAAGATTAGAGAGAAAAATAGACCAGAGGTGTTTGAAGTGATCCAGGAAATGTTTAATATTTCTAAAGAAGATTTTGTACAATATACAAAAGCAGCAAAACAAAGTGTTTTGGATGGAACATCCAAATGGTCAGCAAAAATAACTATCACAGGTAATTTTCTTCTGTTCTAAGAGCTCTTTCTTGCCTATTCCCCTGGTTCAGGAGCAAGATTTTTTTATAAGTAGATTTGGACTGTGTGTTCAATTGTATACTTGGTGCCTCTACAAACAGTTGAATTTTTAGGATGCCAACTGCAAGAGTCGAGTTTTAAGTTGCCAAAACCACTTTATATCCTACTGCTCTAGGAAGGAAGATGAGTAAAACCAGTGTATCTCCTCTACCTCCTACCAATATCTCCTGTGCTAATGATGAGCTTTTTGCTCCAACTGCGAGAGTTAAAGTTCACAAAAAAACAGGCTTTGAGTGATTAAACAAAACACTTGAGCATGCAATTCCAGATCCCAGTGGTTTGAAACTTATTATCCATTCACTTTGCTTGACTAGGGGTGTGTTTCGTTTTAGTGATGCTGATGTTGCATAATTCTGCTCACTCTGAACATATTCCAGATGGCTTCCAACTGCATTAGCCTGGTTGCTCATGAAGATTTCCAGCTCTGACTTTGCCATTTCAGTTTTTGAATTAAAACCTCAGCATAAACAGAGGCTATTCTGAAGGTTGAGAAGTGGTGCATGAAACTCTAAAGAATAATTGTGGAATTTTGGGACTGTCACCAAGCACTAGGGGCATGTTTAATTCATATGTTTATTTTTAATTCTACTTCTAAAGGATACTGAAGGCTGTCTTGTGTTCAGGCCAGTATAATACATACAATTTAATCCTTGAAGACTTTTTGCTAGGCTGTCCCTTAATTCTACTGCATAAATAGGAAAGGGATGCTTCCTTGCCTTCTAAAAGTTTCCATGTGGGTTTAGAGTGAATGGTGAAGACAAAATGTTATTTCAGTCCTAAGAGTGCTTTCAGAAATTGGATGTGTTAAAGAATGGCAGAATTTTACTTCTTCCTCTGAAGTCAGCACATACAACTGAACCCACACCGAGAGCTGATCTGCAGAGCAAGGTGCCATTTTTAGGTAATCATTCTCCTGAGCACGCCAAGGGAGCTTCATTATCCAAAATGATTGACATTAGAGAATGTTAACTAAATGTTACCACTGAGATGATTTCAATAATATGTGCAAAATAACAAAGCCAACTGCTGCTGGATGGTAAGAGCCAGAGCAAGCATTTTAGCTGCAGTTCTCTGGCTTTGGTAGGCTGCTTTTTGACAGTTCTTTCTCCTGAGATTTCCACTTACATGAATTATGGTGGAAAATCAAATTCTATGTATTTATATTTGTCACTAAATTCATATCTATTAGCTATACACCCACATTAACTCTCATAAAGGATAGCAAAAACATAAAGACTTGATTATAATTAATCTGAACTGTCACCCTTTCTGTGGTAGTATAAAAAATATTATAAAAATCATGTTTCAGCTCTTAAAAGAACAAATGACAAATGATAGCCATGCCCATCATGTTTAGTTCCATAAACCACAGGGCATATTTTTTATATTATTGGAGGTTTTCCTTTGGAAATGTTGGATCTTTGAAGAAATTCTGGAAATTTTTTTTTTTTTGGGGGGGGGGGGCAGGGAATTTTAGTGAACCATCAGACTCAAGACAAGTTATACAACAATTCCTTGCAATTTTGATTAAACCAAAGTTTGAGAAAAGTATTTGAATTATGCATGAAAAGTATTTGTTTGGTGCTCAGTAGTGAATCTTTATATTTATTACGCTATTAAACTATATTTTAAGATATGATACAGTCTAGAAGGGTAGTTAGACAAGCCTTGTCAGTCTCCAGAGTTACAGACATTGGGAAAATAGTGCAGAAACCTTTCCTTCACAAACCCTCACTTTGAGGCCTTTGTTTCCTGTTGCTGTTGTCACTCTCATTTACTCCTTGGCAATAAAGGCTATGAGGGCTAAAGCACATTTCTCTCCTTTTGTCGCAGTTCTTTGTGCTCAGGGCTTACAGGCTAAGGACAAAACTGGCTCAAGTGACCCTTATGTTACAGTGCAAGTTGGCAAAAACAAGCGAAGAACAAAAACTATTTTTGGAAACTTGAATCCAGTATGGGATGAAAAATTCTATTTGTAAGTATAGAAAATGCTGTTATTTTTTTTTTTTAAATCTGCATTTGGGTAATATAACTCTACCAAGTGAAATATTAGCTAATTTGAAGATATGTCTGTATGTTTTGTCTGTACTATGCATTTTCACAGCAAATTAGCAAGTTCTAAATGGAGAGAGCATTGAAATTTATTGTGGCTTTATCTGATAGTGATCGTGCAGCTTATAATTAAGTCATCTTTGGGATCTGTTGGTGGTGTCTAATTGGTCTTATCTTTAAGAGAACATAAGTAACAGTTTTCATGCTTCAGCCTTACACACCAATTATTGTCATTAGAAATGCTTTCCTATGTGTCAGACACTGACCGTGCAAGGTAAATGTGTTTTTATTTGACACTGTGATTCTCTGAGGTGTGACTGGGGAGTTCAGTAGTTACTGGTGTGCTCCAGGCACAGGGTTGGTGTGTTTGTAATGTCCATACTTTTAGAATACTGAGTATTGTCCAAAAGTCAGATGTGGAGGATATGGTACAATGGCATTGTTTAGTGTATTCTCATATTTCTTTCCTCCTGTAAAGCGGGGAAAAAGTTGTCTCTGTTCCTATCTACATAAACTGTGCAAGCAATTTCTGTGAGGGTTCAGGCATTTGAAATAGAGCCCTGTTTCCTTTGAGAAGGGGCAATGTCATAAGGTTACCTTCTTATTATCTAGGACTTGCCTGGTTTTTGACCAAAACCTGCTACCTCACTGAGGAGAAGGTTATTGTTTCAGTAGAGTTTGAAAGGGTTTTGGTCCAAGATGCTCCTTCTATTTGTCTGGAAAAGGTACTAGAAAATCCAGCTGAATTAAACAATGAATGCTATTCCTTTCACAGTTCCAAACACTTGTACTAGAATGTACTTGTACTAGAAATGAATAAGTATTTCAGAGAAAACAGACACCTAGAAACTTTTTACGAGCTTCCTCTCTCCAGGAAGCATTTTCTTTTTGAGTTAACTGTGTTACTCTGGTAACAGTTGAAGTGTCATCCATCACTGAATGTCTTTGAGTGACCTAAAGTAGGAGATTAATTGCTTTCTTGCATTTTAATTGTAGGGATTGTGTAATGTTAAAAATTGGATGAGTAATTCAGCAAATTTTGTAGGAAGTTTGTTGAATGTAGTTTCTCAAAGATGTGAGCAGGGCTACAATAAAATCCCTGGAAACTTGAAAATATGTTAATCTTTTTTTCTTTTCTTTTTTTTTTTTTCCCAGCACTAAATATTATCATTATCTGCTGCCCTAGGAATAAAATTTATACCCCCCTCCCAAACCTTACCATAGCATGAACCTCCTGAGCAACTGTCTTGCACTAAATACATTTTCCAACCTTTTTTATAGTACATGTGCTTTCTGAAATAATCTCCCTGACGTATTTAATGTTTTGGATTTCAACTGCAAAAGTATAGGAGAAATTCTAAATTGTATTAAATAAACTATAAATGTTTAACCAGAAGATTAAATCTAAAGTAGATCAATACAACTATTTAATTGACTCAGGAAATATTATCTAAATTAGGCTCTATTAGCAGTAATTGATATTTAAATCTTGTTTAAAATCTAATATTAACAATCATTATAACTTTTAAATTATAAAATGCAAAAATAAGATGTCTCAAAAATCTTACAGTCTTATACTTACTTATACCAAAACATGTTTTTAAATCTTCCCATCTGTTCCAAAACAAGGACTTGGAAAAAACATTGGCTCCCCTCTGTGCATTTGCTCTGCCATACCACATGGAGTGAGGGCAGTGCTCTAGTTCATAGAACCACACTTAACCCAGATATGATTGTATGGTAACAGTGAGAGAATGTTTCTAACAAAATGTAGTCTGACCCTCTGCTAAAAGGCCATGGGCCACTGGCATAGATTTTAACAGGGTACCTCATGAAGCATAAATAAAATAGAGCTTTTTGGTGCACAAGGTAGAGAAGTAAATAGGCCAGCAGATGTTCATTTAATGAATGCAACATAGGTGCTAAGGGCTTTGATCCTTTCTCCTGGTATTATTAGAAATGAGATAACGGAGAAGTTTTGGGGGCTTTTTCAATGAAACGTCAGAGATAGGGGAGTTTCTGTCAATGCCAGAGCAGAGGAAGAGTCCTCCAGCTGTCACCTTCTTTTTCTGGTTGAGTGTGGTGTCAAGTACAGGAAAAAGGGACTGTATTTACTTTTTTTTTTTTAATTACAGGAAGATATATTTTGGCTGTATAGTTCTCAGCTATGTAGAAACCTTTAGATTGATGCACTATAATAAAAGTCTACTCTAATTCTTTTCCTGACTATTTTCAACAGTTGATTGCTAAAATACAGAGAAATCTGTTTTTTCTGACAGTGTTGTCTAGGCTAGCACCATGCTCAAATTGCCCTGCTGACTTTGCAGGTACCACATTTCCTCTGACAATTCAGAAATACCTCAGATACAATTGTATAATACAAAGGTCTTTAAAATAACTGGATGATTATTTTACATTATTTATTTTTCCTATTTTGGCTGCCACTAAGATGGCATAAGGGCTCTAATAAATACCTTCATTGGATTGATACTGCTACCTTCAGTGCATGAAAACATTTGTTCAAACTGATTTCAGTCATCCAGCTGTACATGTTCTTTCTTTAGAGTTACTTTAAGGCAGAGCACCCACACATTTATTTTGAAATAAATTACTAGTGGATTCATTTAAAGCAATATTTACTGTCAGTGGCCAAAAGAACTTTTTTTTCACCAAAGTCCCTTTCAGCTGTTATTTTATACACTCTTGATCAGCTGAACTGGCTTTTAAAAAACATGGTCTTTACTGTACCTAAAGATAACATGATTGGTTAACTGATTAAATGGTGCTCCATTTTCCAGTGATATCTCAACACAGTTTTGCCAGAATTGTTGAAATAGCTCAAGGATTGCCTCCTAAGCAAGAGTATATTACAAAGGCTTATATTACATAAAACAAATTGAGTAAAAAACCTACACATTAGTTTACTAGATTCATCCATTCTGAAAATTCTTCAATAATCAGCCAAGTTTCTGAGAGACATTCTGCTAATTAAAATAACTGTATCTCACAGCCTCAGCCCAAATCAAGAGAGCAGAACACCTCTAAGAAGCAATTGCAATGATAAATTGTGTGCTCAGTGATAATGTTTTTCAGAGTACAGCGTGCATGGTCTGAGTCTTTTTTTCAAACTGCTGTCAATCCAGATTAATTTTATACAACTCTTTTTTTGTTATGACAGAGTAAAATAATGCAAGAAAAAGCATAATTAGTCTCATTCTACTTTATCAGAAAGCATGGCCCGTGACAACACTGCTAAAGAATTGGGACTGTCCAGACTAGAGAAGAGACAAGTAGTGGAGGTAAGGATGTCTTTAAACACATCCTTTCTCCTGCAAAGAGGAAAGGAATAATCTATTTTCCATGCTTACTGTTATAGTAGAACAAGAAGTAACAGCCACAAATTACATTTAGAGAGGTTTAAACCACACTTCAGAATAGGTTTGCCAACAGTGGGGTTAATGAAGATCTGGGAGATTCCATGAGGGACCGTGGAACTGTCTGTGAACACCTAAGAACAAAGTGGAATGGTATGGATCTGATTCTGGCTTGCACTAATGGCAATAATAATAAACATGAGGGACAATAATAGCAATAAGTGGCTTCCTGAACTTGCTGGTGGTACCACAGTATCACTAAGTTGTCATTTTAACACTGGTAGCAGATCTCATAGAGGAGATGTACAATCAGGTCATGCCAGTGCATCTAATACTAAATTTACTTTGGGGTTCTGTTGTAAAGATACTTTATTATACAGGTTTATTACTCTAGCCCTTAGACTAAGCTGGAATTCCGTGAGGATTATTTCATGTCTGTGTGGCATTCTGGAAATGCAGAAGTAATGCAGTGTTGCCAGATTGTTGGTAAATTATTAAAACTGTCTCTTCTGTCTTGCATCTCTGGGTAGACTGCAGCTTCTCTAGTTTTCAGAAGTATCAGTACGTTCATTCTATGAGTACTAGAGAACAGTTCATTTCTCATCTTCCTGTATCACACTTCTGTGAATGCTTTTACTGAGCATATAAAGCACAGTGGCTAGAAGAGAAACGCTGAAACTAGCATATGTTGTCTAGCCTTTAATTCCCTGGGCTGATTATCCTGGAGTAAACAAAAGTAGGAATTCCATCCAGAGCTTCTGGACAGATGTTAGCAGTGACTAAAGCAGAACATGCATGTCATTACATAGGGCTGCTTCTGAGTCTGGGCAGGTAAGTAGGATCATTCAGAGACAGCTCTGTAACTTCAGCAGGAAATCTCCCTGCAGTCACACTGCCACAGGGCAGGCCAGGAGGAAATGTTTGTTCATCCACTCTTCAGTACTTAAACACAAATCCATGCTATTTTTGTGATCTTGCACAGAAACATTACAAACATACAGCTGACTCTGTGCTGAAGTTTTGACACAAAGATGAACACGAGTTAACACATTGATTCTGCCAGGTCTCGCCATGTCTCACTAACCTAGAGATTAGTTTAAAGATTAAAGGAGAAAAGGATGTTGTGGACAACTGAGGATATCAGGGAACAGTACAGTCATCTTGACCATCTGAATAATTGTTTCTTAATCAGCTAAGTGTATATCAGACGGAAATTTGTGTTGTCTCAGGAGAATAAAAATATGCTTGTGCTGAAGTACAACAGTGACTTTTTATATGCAGCATCTGCCAGAGAATCAAAGCAGGAATATGATTTCTATTTAAAGCACAGGTATGGTGATGAGGGTCACATAAATACCTCACCAGTGACAGATATACATCGCTACAGAAATCCCCTGTCTATTATTTCTGTTGGGTGCACAGCTAAATGCAATTCAGGACTTTAGCAATGTTACATAGTAACTGAGAGCTACATTTCAGGAGAATTTAATGGTTTCTGGGTTTAGCCTTGTTTCTTAAGGCAATGATGTTCATTTGATCCATCTCTATCTTCCTATATCTTTTGAATTTTGTGATCAGTCAGTCAGAGAAATTTCACAGAGTGCCAAATAGCATGTCTGTCATGTTCTTTGAAAATATGTGGTCGGAGAGAGATGAGATCCTGACTGTCCTCAGTATGAGCTCACCCCATAACAGATACCAGGAGTTCACATGAAGAGGTAATTTATGAAAACTCCCACTATAAGAGGAGATTCAATAGGTGACTGTGGTTGGTAGGATGTCAGGGAAGCCAGTTTTAAGACAAAAGGAAACTGCATTTTATTAATTTTGCTAATCACAGAAAATGTGCATTTCAATTACCAGAATTATATACAAGTTAAAATCTGGAATACAGAGAGAAGGATTTCTGTGATTCTGAATGATGTCACAGTGTGGTAAAGGCTGTGCATGCCATTTTTAGTGTCTGATTGGCCTTGACAGTAATAATACCATTTACAGCACTTTATACTTTCAAAGCCCATTACCACCACTAATTAATTCTTAGAATACCCCTGAGGGGTGCTGCTTGGAAGATAAGTTGGAGTATTACTGTTTTAACACTGGAAACAGAGACATATCACTAAGCAGGGATAGTGTCTGGAATAGAATTTGAGTAAAAACTTAATCAAGTGTCAAAGTAAGGCCCTGCTGAAGATGAAAATTTGCTGCTATGCTTCAGAGTCATATTTAAAGGTAAACAAAGATATGTAATATATAAAATATTTCTGTAGCACTAGTGAATGGATATTAAAAACATCCTTCATATGGATGCATGGGTATGGAATGGATTTAACTGATGTCAGCTCTGTACAAGTCAAACATCAGCAGAAAGCTTTTCACTAACCCAAACCTCTGCAATCAGTGTTGGGATACTCCAGTAGAATGATCAAAAGCCCTCACCAGCGAATAGCAAACAGTCCTCATTGTGCCTTATCAGAATAAGCAGTAATAGAGTTTCTTTTCAATCTCTGTGTACATAAATGCAGGGTGCAACTGGGAGTAAAAATTTTTATCCGCTGTGTACTCTGCAGATTGCAAGTGAAGCCACCTCATTCCCTCGTCCATGCAGCAGTTTCTTAAATCCACTTAACCCAGGAGGGGTTAGTAAGCCACTTCAATTTACAAGAACTTTTTTAGAACATGGCCTGGTCCCTACTCTTTCTCCTTACCAGGGAATGGAGGTCTTGAGAAACATTAATGTATCTTTTAAAAAAAGCAGCTTAATTTCCTGGGCTTTTCTGATTGCCTTTCTTTTTTTGCTGGGATGTTTGTGCATACTTCTTGGCTTTTTACAAAAGCTTCCTGACACACACTGGAGATATTCTTTAAATTTTTTCTTGCGTTTCGTATTATTCCAGACTACTGCTTTGGTAGTTCACTGTATGTACTACATGGTATTTCTAAGCAAACAAACCTGACCTAACTGTATCTTTCCTAAGATATTTGTTAAATAATAGCATGAAGAAATATGAATCTCAAATTGAAAATTTTAATGAGCAGTTATTGACATTCCTAAATACAGTCTCTATGTATATATAATTCAATCAAGTTATTCTGTTTATATATAGTAATTCTCATCTATATAGTAATTTTAGTTTTGTCCTTGGCAATCTGGGATGGCCTTTTATTCCTCTGGATGTTGCAGTTTGTGCTTTGACATTTGGTGCAGTTAAGCAAGTGTGTGGAGATTGAATTTAATGAATTAGACAGCAGTAAAGAGTAAGATAGTTTATATATAAACTCATATTTTGTGTTTTATTTTTTTTTTCCAGTGAATGTCATAACTCTACAGACAGAATAAAAGTAAGAGTATGGGATGAAGATGATGATATCAAATCTAGAGTAAAACAGCATTTCAAAAAGGAATCAGATGACTTCCTCGGGCAAACAATCATTGAAGTAAGAACACTGAGTGGAGAAATGGATGTATGGTATAATTTAGGTATGATTCTTACTGACTTTTCCAGACAAATTTAGTTAGAGTCTTACTGTCTTTAACTTTGTGACTTCAAAATATGTAGCTTTGGTACCAATGTATGACTTCTAAAATATCAAACATTACAGGTTGATTTAAAAATGAAAACTAGAACCCTCACTGCCCCCTGTGTCACTGGCAGGGAAAGAGTAGAGAAAATCAGGATTGAAGTAAACCTGTGAAGAAGGGATGGGTGAGGGGAAGGTGTGTTTTATGATCTGGGTTTATTTTTCATTATCCTACTCTGATGTCACTGCTAACAAATTGATTTTCACCTAAGTTGAGCCTGGTTTTGGCCATGGAAGTAATTGGTGAGTGATCTGCTTCCCATCCTTCTCTTGACCCATGAGACTTTCATGAGATTTTCTACCCCCTGTCCAGCAGAGGAAGGGAGGTGATAGAGCAGCTCTGGTGGGCACCTACCAGAATCAACCCATCATACCAGGTTGTTGATAAAGTCTTCATAACTAAAGGAAAATAACAATACTTAATACAGCTATCAGGCAGAAAATTCAAGTAATTTCAGTTGAAAAGCAGAAAGTAGTAAATAAATAGCTGTGCAGCCTTGTTTGAATATGGCAGATGAAATAAGATTTTTACTTCATAGTTAGATATTCTATTTTGTGGACTGAACATGAGGAACTAAAAAACTTGAACTAAAAAACTTAAAAACTAAAAAAAATTCTTGTCTTCAACCGCAGGACTTCCTGGCTTTAAAAAGATTAAACCTGAATGATTTATGAAAGCTTTTCATATGACATACATGTGCTCTTGGCAGTTACTAATGTATTCTTTTTCCACTCTTCAGAAAAGCGAACAGATAAATCGGCTGTCTCTGGTGCCATTAGACTGAAAATCAATGTTGAAATTGAAGGAGAGGAGAAAGTTGCTCCCTATCATGTGCAGTACACCTGTCTACATGAGGTATGTTGGAGAAATTATAGTATACAGTATAGAAATTACTGTTCAGTTGTTGCACAGATAAGGAAAAAAGTCTACAAAACGTTAGAACACTGAAACAAATAACTGCTGCTGTACTTCAAGACAACTTTATTTTGGATTTCCCATTCTGTATTGCTCAGGAAGTATCAGATTAAGAGGCAAGGGCAGAATAATATAAGACCAACAAAGAGATTGTTCCTGCCAAGAGGTGCTAGAAAGAGGTTGAGCCAGATAAACTCTCCTTCTACTGTTTTTGGTTTAGCACTTTGATATATGATTGCTAACATCAGAAATATACAAACATTTCTATATATATTACAGAAGTATACTGTAAAAGAGTACCTCTGTTTTACAGTAATTCATATTTTGGAGAGTGAGAAAAAGGAGAGTAAGACAAAGATATTATAATATCTAATTTTCCTTTCATCTGGTTTGCTTTTGTCAACATTGAAAAAAATCACTGATAAATAGGTGTGTATTCTGAAAGATTTTCCTTGTAATTGATTACCCTTCCTTCAAATAGTTATCCATGTAGAAATTCTATTCTGGAAATAAAAGTAGTTTCTGAAAGCTGATAACTAAGATATGTCTGAAAGTTCACCACTAGCATGTGACCACAAAAACCATTGTTCACCACTTGTAAAATGAGATCTTTAGGGCATTTGTGCTGATAGATTTTGACCTGAAATTGCAAATGTTGGACCTATGAAGTAAATGATAATATTCAATGCTGTAAGATAATACAAGAGACAGTTATGAGCTGATTAGCAAAACTGAAAGTATTTTGAAGTTTTAGGGGTTTTTTTCAGTCACTGAAAATAGGAAATAAAATGTGTTGGATTTTGTAGATTCATATGGAGTTGTGGATTTTGTGGATACATATGGAGCTAGGCAATCTGAGAAGCATTCAATGCCATGAATGTCAAATCCTAGCTTTGCTCCCAAGGGTGCTAAATCCAAGCTTTATTGCACACCTTGCACAACTTGCGGGGCACCTACAGTATTTCTGTTAGCTCCCCGTAACTTAAGAACTTAAATAATAAATTTGAAATTTATTGGTCACAGATAAAATTCAAATTGAAACGCTCTGTAATAAGTATTACAACATCACTATTTCATTCATTAACAAGGGCATATAACAGAGAAGTTTCTGCACTATTTTATGTTGCAGTCCTTCTGTGCCAGTAAACAGACAGGACTTTATATCAAGGAGATACAATGTGCTAAATCACAAGTCTGTTGACTAGTTTGAGGCAGTCTTTGGAAAAATAAACAATTAATAAATGGACTAACACTTAACGTATTGATGTTAATATATGTAGGATGTATTTTTTTGAATGCTTCTTGACAGCCAAAATTTCATGTCCAGAACATTTTTTACCTTTAGAATCTGTTCCATTACTTGACGGAAGTTAAGTCTAACGGTGTGGTGAAGATCCCTGAAGTGAAGGGCGATGAGGCCTGGAAGGTGTACTTCGATGATGCTGCCCAAGAAATTGTGGATGAGTTTGCAATGCGCTACGGAATTGAATATATTTATCAAGCTATGACGTAAGTATTATCATGGTTGGCTTTCTGCTTTGCTGTCAACAGTGTCTTTGAGGGAATTTCAAGCCTCTGTGATTTCATTCACAGTTTCTCTTCCATTCCTGACTTAAAATTCTTATCATTTTTGTACATCTGATTCTCATTGAAGTGCTTCTCATCTGAAGTGGCTTTAAAATATAAGCATTTTATAAGCTGTGACTGGTATTACTGCTAATGCATTCCTTAATCCTTACAATACTGATATATAGCACAGTTCAGAAATACTTCTAATGTTCCAGATGCAACAGGACCAGGGTTTTACAAGCTCTCTTTCCTAGGACTACAGAGCAGAAATGGCTATAGTGGGTTTCCATAGTATATGTAAATAATTAGTGCAAACCATTTTTAACAGTACTGAGACCTATTTCTACATCATCCATTCTGAAGTAGCTTTCTGAACACCTTAGAACACAGCCCCATAAAGCTCAGAGGCCTGGAGACATGAGAAATCTATCATGTGTTCTCAATTTATCCAGCAAAATGTTTTCTGGTGAAAAGGACTATATTCTGCTGGAACTGTAGAAAAGCAGGGGACTCCAAATGAGTTCTCTAAATAAAAAATACAGATTTTTCTCATAGAAACCTGATATTGTGGAATTTTTAATCAGAACATCTCTCATTTTTTTGCATTTCTTTATGTCCTGAAGAGTCTTCTAGTAAGTATGAAAGTACATACAAATCTGAAGTTTTATTGCAGAATATAATGACACCACCTGCTATTGCAATGAGCTTGTCTTTCACTTAATGTAGCTGTCTGTGAATTATTGTATTGTTCATCTAATAGAAGAGCAGGGAATGTATTTTGTACTACATGAATTTTTAATGATCTTTCTTCAAGAATTAATGAAACTTGAGATTCCTTCTTTTTTATATTTAAACTACATATGAAAGAATTCATGTGTTGACTTTCATGTGTATTTATGTTTCTGTGTTTAGTTTCTCTGTAACTCTGTATGATTGTTGTCATTTATTAACTTATCCCGGTACTGTAGTTTTATAACTTGATTTAAAATGGCATGGCATTTTTTCCAAAATGTTAGTGATAGAGTTATTCCTGCTGTGTGTGTCAAAATGAATTTGAGGTTTGAGAAGAAGTTAGTTGTTAAGAGTTATTAATGCCAAAGGAAGCCTGTCATGGCAATTTGCATAAAAAATAAAGGGCTGATTTAGCATTAGTTTTGCCTTAACTGTAGCTTCAGTAGTTGATTATTTCAATATAACATGACTATATTTTTGAAAGATAACCTTAACTGTAAAATTATTTTGAATTATGTTTTTCTTCATCTTTTGATGTATTCATGTACTGCAAAATTTCCCAGAAAAAGTTTGAAACTAGTTTCAGAAATTCAGATGTTGCAAAAGTCATTGCAAAAATAGCAACGTAACTGATGTGAGTATATAAAATTTTGTACTTAAAGGTGGAAGAAATTGACAGGTTATATTTTTATATAAAGAGGATACTTTCTTTTTATCTCAGTAAATAACACGATGTACAGATATTCATGAAAAGTAAGAAAATTTCTAACATGGAGCTGGGCAATTACTCCAACACTTTTTTCAGGAGTCTTTACTCAAAAATTCTAACCAAGTAATTTCATGTCAATTGACCTATTTTGCCTTGTCCTCTTTTTGTTCTTGATTTCTTCTATACATTTTCCCCCAAATTTTCTTCATGTTCTTGACTGCAAACCTGGTATCTGAAGGCAAATGTAATGAGAAAGCAAATTCAATATCTGTAGTCACAACAAATAAAAGTTAAGATTTTGTGGCCCGCATACCCACATCCTTTTATATTTTAAAATGTTGCATATCAATAATGAGCACTGCCTTTTTGAGGAGACATCCCCAGCCTGTTTAAGTTAGGAATAAAATTAGTGATTAATGCAATCTCAAGTAATACTTGACCAAGAATAGATATTCATATACGTTGTTTTGCTGATTCATCTGCAAACACCTCTCAGAGAATTCAGACTTTGGAGAGAAGAGTAGTGAAGACACTAAGTATATCTGTCATGAGGAATTTTCTTTTGGACTATTATCAGCTGGTTTTATTTCTTTTTATGAGATTACCTTTTTCTTCTGGAACAATTTTAGTGGCTGGAAGAAAATGTACGGCTTCTTGATTTGGAAAATAGCATTATCAGATTGCATTTGGTAACAAAGATCTCCTACTAAAACAAAAGCAATTTTCTACTATACAACAGAGAGAGAATTTGAATGTAATCACTTGGCCCAGAGGAATATTGTGTAAGCATTTTTTGCTTGAGAATCTAGTTGCAGAGTACTTCTACTGCATGTCTCATGGTAACATTGGAAATTAAAATGTTTGTGTTTGTAAATGCAAAACTGACTAAGCTTTAATACCCCGGGATCCAGACCCCAGAGAGTGTCTGCACTTCATCAGGCTGCATGAGTTTTAGCATGCTGCTAATGAGGTGCTCTTCTTGCCTGAAAGTAATTTTTATTATTCATACTTGTTTTAAAGTTAGTTATTATAAAATATTTCAGTCCCACTTAATGATAGTCAGTCTCGGCCCTTTTAAGTGTGGATAGACGGCATATGCTGGAGTAGGAACATATGCTTGTCTGTGTTTCTACATACCATAAACCTGATTAAGTACCCCTGTCTAAAGTGATTGGGCAGCCTGTTCCACTACAGCAATAAACAATCCCACTTGTCTATCATTTCTGGTTCATTATGGTGGCTTTGTCATTTATGATCCCTTAATAAACCCCGGAGATTTCCTTCAGGCCCTCAATATTTACTTATATCTATTCCTTTAGAGCACAGAAATAATATTTGAAAAATTTAGTCTTGATTTTCTAAATACAGTGAAAATACTCATACTGGCATGAGGGAATCAGCCCAGGAGATATCTCACAGGTGACAGACCTGTCTGTTCTAGTCATTGTCCCCAGTGAGACCTTTCTCACCAAGCTTAGAAAGAGAATGAATTCAGGTGTGGTTGCACATTTTGCTGGAGATAGGAACAGCTCCATATTTTTATGAAATAAATGTAGACACTTTTTCCCTAAAGATGCTGACTTAGAAGGGGTGTTTTACTCTCAAGATACAGATTACAACTGCACAGTTCCTGAGCAAGGAAATCTGCTTCAAGTTACCAAATGTGGAATTAATGTGCATAGAAAAACAGCCATCAATCCAAACCAAAATACTACAAAAAGACAGATTCCGTTGCAGTAATTGCAGCTCTTTGAAGTTTTGACTGTATAGGTTACATAACCCACTCTTCTTTCCTATGATTATTTTATTCTTCCACTCCTCATGGAGTCTGTATTAGGAAAAGAAAAGTGAGACAATTACAGCCATTCTTACATGGTTCAGATGAGATTTTTTTTTTATTTTTGTGATGAATAGCAGCCAGGCAGACACTGTTAACCACACAACTGATACGTGTAACTCCCAGAAGTACAAGCATGGATGTGCGAGATGATAGGAGGAAAAATAAGTATCAGAGAAAAGAGGAAGAAAAAGTAGAAAAACAGCACAGTGATGCAGCTGGCCTTTATTTAGATGACTGTGGTGACTGATGGGAGTTTATGCTGTAAATTCAGTTTCTAGAAGGAATCATACTGGAATCATACTTTCTTTACCTACATATATTAACCCACACTGCAGTGAAGAAAAAGTAACTTTTTTCATGTCATTCATCTTTCAGCATAATTTATTTTTCTTCAGAAGGCAAAAATCTGAGCACATATTGAAACAGTGTTTGACTAGACACTGAAATTACACATAATATTAGCAACCTGAATTTATTGTGTAATAGAGTCAAGTGCAATAAAAGCTCTATTAAGACCTTTATTTCTTACTGGCAAGAGTCACCACAGGTAGAACCTAATGATTCTCAATCAGCAACATAGCTCTCATTCCAGCAGGTTAATGGGCACTAACTATGTCATCTTGTTCTCCTGCTAGTTTTCAATTAATGTGGCAGCATAACAAAAAGCACAAAAATCGCCCATTAAACTAATTTTTTATTGATAGCCTTTGCTTACTGATGAGTACAGCACATGAATTGGACTTCTTTCTTCGTTAATTCATGCTAGCAGAAATATTGGAAGGATCCCAGGCACTCTCTGTTGGTCAGGAAATTGCATAGTAAGAAAGTTGGAGCAAGCAGACCTGGTTTCAGACACCACTGTAGCTTAGGCAGTGCAACCTTGCTCTAAAATCTGTGAGACTTAGCAATGGTTGCTGTGACATCATGTGCCCATAGAAATTGTTAATAACTCAAGCTGTTGGCTGCTGTTTTCAAAGACTTGCAAAAACAAGGACAGGGGCTTAGATTTACTCATTGTAGCAAGCAGAAGGAATCCAGGTATCTTGCAGGTAGCTGATTACCTGGGTTACCAGCACTCTGAGTCATGACCCACATTGTGTACTTAATAGGTTTTGTGAACATTAAAGATTTTAATTACGTGATGGAGAGAAACAAAAATCTGTCACAGATGCTTTACCATCGTTTTCACTAAGCACATTACAGGTGAAACAGTGCAGCAGTACTATAAGGACATAAATTGTATCTATTGTTTTTAATTTTCCTTGTGAAAAATTGGTCTCGTTTGGGTCTGTTTTCAAGATAAGAATTCAGTCCAGGTCATGGGTAGCTCATTATGAAATGGTTAGTGGAACCTGCAGAGGTTGCCTTAAAATGTTGACCCAAACAATATTTTCATGGTCTGTCATGTTCCCTGAAGGCAATTGAGACTCAGTGATTCCTCTGCTGCTGACTGCTCCTTTTGCCTGCCTCCTCCCTCAGCAGAGAATACATTACAGGTATGACTCTAAGGCCCTCTAAGGGGTTATTAATGCCTTTTGATCTCCAGATTGATGTTACTTGTGCACTAAGGACCTTTAAGTCCACTAAAAGACTTCTGGAAATTAAAGGTCATTAGTAAAAGTACTAAATATTTTGTCCATTTTTTGAAAACTGGTTCTGATCATCTCTACATTTATTTCCCAAATTTACTGATAGATAAGGAGATATTTCTATTAGCTTTAAAGGTAACCTTTATTAGTGAGATCCACCTGACATCACTATTGTATCTTATTACAAAGGAAAGTATTATTCTTCTACTTGACAAAAAACATGTGACATACAATGAAAGATTTTTCTGAGGGGTGGAGAGCTGTGTTCCTCTTTTGTTGAATTCACATTTCAGTCTTCAAGAGCACTTCTTGAAAATACTAGCAATGAATTAAAGTTTTGGTAACACTATTCCATGAGCCCATAGCTGGGAATGCTGGGTTCTGGTCCTGGCCGATGTGATTGGTTTCTGTCTGGTTTTGAGCAGTTTCTCTCAGTTATGTAAAATGCACATAATAGCACTTAATGATTACCCCTACAGGAAAATAATCTTGAATTATGCCTGGAAAGATGACCCAGGCAGTGACAACAGTTAAGGGTATTTGGCTTAAGTTCAGCAGGAGGGTTCAACTGTACCTTGTGTTAATTTTTTTTTTTGGAAGGGCATTAGTGCCCAGGTGGTTCAGGCCCAGCACACTGCTCTGCCTTATGCTCCTGAGGAGGAACAGGAGAGAGGAGCCAGAGACTCCAGCTAAGAGGAGCATGTGGCAAAATCAGGACCTTCAGTCTCACAGAGACCTGTTGGAGTTTCTTAATCCTCTTCTGTTTAACTCTACACCCATTTTTATCACCATCTTTTCCCAATCCCTCTTATTCTCTTTCCTATTTGTGTACATTTAGTCTTTATCCTTTTATCTCCCTCCCAGTCCTGCCTAATTATAAATTTTGAAATTAGGAATTTATGTTTGCCATGATGATGTTCACTCTCCTCATGGGTCAGATCTTTCATTCCTTTGTACTTCTCCTGTTTTGTTGTGTTATAAGCTCTTTGCATGCTACCAGCAGGCACCTCCTTTGTCATTAAATAAGTAAACAGTGTTGCTACTTTGCACCTCTGGTTTAGGCTGCTTCAGGTTTAACAGACTGATTACCTAAATTTTACTGGTCTGGATCAAAGTGGGACAGTTTTAGTTATGGCCTAATTCAAATCAAGGTGAAATTGTTAAGCTGCTTGAAGCGCCTTTCATTAATAATGTAATGTGAAATAAAAGCCACGCTAAAATGATGGTTTGAGTCTTTTTGTTGGCAAGAATTAAATCTTCTACTATAGATCTCTGTGACTTTCCATGATGATGAGTTAGAGTTTGTTTTTTAGGTCTTCTTTAATAATGAATGTTTCACTTAATAGCAATTAAAATAGTTAAGTCATGTTTTTGTGTTTAGGATTAACAGAGTAAGAACTGAATGTGAATCTGATATTAGAAAACATCAGTGTGCAACAAGTGGTAATTATATCAAACATATCTGGGTTTTCTTCATATGCATCTGTACAATTTTCCATGAGGTAGCCTGAAAGTTACATCATTGGAGTTAGAAATAAATTACAATGGGAGAAGAAGAAGACGCCCTGACATCTTTAATAACTTTTGGTCTGTTTATATTGCAGGCACTTTTCCTGCCTCTCTTCTAAATACATGTGCCCTGGTGTTCCAGCAGTTATGAGTACGTTGTTGGCCAATATAAATGCTTTCTATGCTCATACAACGGCAGCAACAAATGTATCTGCCTCAGATCGCTTTGCTGCTACTAACTTTGGGGTAAGTAGATTTTCAATAGAGTTCTAGTCCTTTTTCTTTTCCTACTATATTCCATATTAACTTCTACATTGGATTTTTTCTTTTTAATTGCTCATTTTAAAGAGTAAAGGCTGTTGTTAACTTTTGAAAATGTTACCCTGAGTTTTTAAAATTGATTGTCACAAAAGCCAGGGAAAAAGTGCTGCTCAGCTCCTTGTGAGGCATAGAGGGTGAAAAGCACTGGCACATATTCACAGTACTAAAATCTCCAACAAACAAGTTTCTTTTTTATTGCAGTGGGCCTTGCAAACTGCTAACGTCATTAGACTAGATATTGGATGCATTTCCTTTCTTGGGCTGTGTCATCAGTGAACTCATGTTAACATAATGGATGTAGCCATAAATGCTGCTCTTCTCACAAAGATCCATAATAATGGACTTCCTAATTTTTGCTGAAATTTTTCCTGGTGTGTTGTCCAAGTCCTGGATTTAGGTGTCAGGAATTTTAGGAGGAATAGGCATTTCAGGATGTGGTAATATTTCTTTTGTTATTGCAAAACTATTTTTATTTTGTGGATAAGTATCTCACAGCATGGACTTCCTAGTCTTTGAACATGATAATAAATAAAAACACATTCACTCCTTATTCTGATTCCTTCACCTGCTCTCAGAGGAAATGAGAGCAGGAAGGCAGAGCAGTAATTCAAAGAGGTTGCCTTCATAGCTCTGGTATAACACATGATACAGAGTATAAATACAATCTTATGCTGAAAAATGCATTTATTCTTTCCTCTTTTTTTAGTAGGGCTTTTGTTTGTAGGGCTGATATCAAAGGTATATTTGATGCAACAGTTTTCATGAAATACCATTTATTGACCTGAAATAAAATATTAATAATAATTAAAATTTGTTAAATACAAATTAAAATTCTAAATGTCAAGTTTTATTTGTAGTGTTAGAAACACTAGTATTCTTCTCCAGCATTAGAATAATAGAGGAATTATGAATTTTTGATTTTCAAGACAAAATTATGAACTTTTACATTTGGATGAGTAAACCAAGAATTACTTAATATCTTTGTTGAAACAAGTCCTCTCTTTCAATATTCAAGCTGTATTCGACCTTTGATGCAACTTTTGAAATTTGGAATGGTTTTTCTGGGTTTTTTATCCTTTTTTTCCATTTTTCCAATGACCAGAACTGCTTTTGTCCTCAGAATGGGCAGAGATTAAATCCTTTCTCTGATGTTAATGCCAGTTTGCCTTTGACGCAATTCCAATCCAATTCATAGTTCAACAGATGGATGGAAAAAGAGTAGTAGGCATCACTAATAGAGATTTGGAGCTCTTTTTTCAAACAATTGACTTATAGGAAAAATATTAGATTATTCTTCTCTCCTGGGTCAAAAGGCATTTGTTAGTGAATAGCTGCACATCATTCATCAGAAAGAGCATCTCAAATTCAAGTCCTCAGGCTACAGCTGGGAATGATTTGGCTGACTGAATATTTCAGTAGAGATTTATAACATGACAAAAAAGTTCTCTTTTGATTGATCCCTTAAGGGAACTGTGCCAAATTAGTGGGGTTTGGTGTAGGTTAGGACTCCACTGATGAGAGACAGTGCACAAAGACTCTATTTTCAAATTACTGATCATCACATTTGGAGGATGGTGCAGATAGAATCAGGCCATCCTGAGAGCTATCAATCAGCTCCTGCATCTTCCAGAAGTCTGCTGCTTTCACATAGGCTGAGATTTCACAGTTCTGTGCAGTAGACTGTAGAATATGTCCTAACGTGGTAATTAGAGACTCTCATTAGTATTACTTGAGAATGGAACAAGTCAGCTGGAAATCACACAGCAAAATACTTTCACTGCTCCTTCATCTATCAAGATAACAAGTTAATCTTCACATTTGAAAGGAAAACATATAATTGTGCTATATTAGTACTGCTTAACTTATTCCTACAAAAGCCACAGTTTCAGAAGTATAATTTTCAATCATACTTTTGCACCAAATTCTGTTGTAAATGAGCATCATTTCTTACTTATTGAAGGAGGAGGTGCTTTCTTCAAGAGTTTCATCAGTTTCAAGGCAAATATAAGACAGGAAAATGTTGCATTGCAAAATCTTTGTGACCTCACTAATGTGTTGCACAGCTGCAGAGTGTTTAATGCATACTAGGTATACAATATAAATAGAAAGGGAAAATAAAGTGAAAGAAGATGCATCACCTGGCCTTGAAACATAGGTATTTCAAACCATCACTTGCATATGAAATAATGGAAAACAAATTGATTTTCAAATAAGAGTGGAAAGAAGCATTCCAAAGCCCCAGATATTACAGGGATCTGCGAATTCTAGTGCAACATATTCTTGTTTTCTTTTTACAGAGAGAAAAGTTCATAAAGCTGCTGGATCAATTGCACAATTCTCTGAGGATTGATTTATCTAAATACAGGGTATGTATTTAAATTATTTTCATTAGCAGCAGTTTCTAGACTTCTTTACTCCATGTTTTTGGAATACCACAATATTTTAAATTTTTCATATTACAAGTGCGGGAGCATTATCAAAATGTGCCTACTCATGTCCAAGGGATACTTAAGTACTTCACAGGCAGAATTCAGATAACATGAACATCTCTAATCCTTCCAAGCAGCACCTTATGTTTTCTTAGAGGCTTTTTGACTAATTCAAGGATTTTACCTGTAACACTAATTTTGCACAATTCCTCTTTCCCTGCTTCACCAGGATAATTTTCCTGCCAGCAATTCTGAAAGACTCCAAGATCTGAAATCAACTGTGGACCTGCTAACCAGCATCACTTTTTTTCGGATGAAGGTACTGTCCTGTCCTTGCACAAATAAATTTCCTGAAGGAAACAAAAAATTTACCTTTTTAATTAGTTTAAAGTCAAGTTGCATAAGTCATACTTAGCTGAATGCCTTAGGAGTCATACAGAATAATGGTTTTCTACTGATATAAAAAATCACAAGTCAAACAACAAAATAGATCTGATAACTATTTGCCTTAGTCTCTCCAGAGGTTGAGATCTAAGTGGTCTGCAAATATTTTTGTAATGGAATGGTACACATTGATATCACTGAATGAAAAAAGAGAAACACAAAGGAACCTTTGTTGTAATAGCATGTGATTCCATTGCATTAGGCAACTACATAAAGAGAATTAAAATAATCCGTTAAGTTAAAGTTTGAGTTAATGTAGCCTGAAATGGAGTAAAAAGATGAGCCTTTTGCTTTCAATAAATAACTGGTATTTGGCTGATATTCAAAAGAAAGCACATAATTATACGGTTTAATTACTGCCTAAATAATAAAAAAAAAACTTGTAAAACGTAAACCCTGAGATGTTAAGATGTAAATTCTTGTGCACACATGCTTCCTTCATCGTATAAATATTTTAATTCAAATAAAACTTAGTGATAAAATTTACTTGCACTTATTTTAATATATCTTTGAACTAAATCCACATTAATTCAACACAATTTTAATTATTTTATCATTGCTTTATTTGAACACTTTTTACCCTGTGTAACAGAACTACATTCAACACTTGGATTTTTTGTGTTCAGTTTAATTCTGACATTCTCCCATTTGTGAAATATTTCATTAGGTCCTGGAATTGCAGAGCCCCCCTCGAGCCAGTACTGTGGTGAAAGACTGTGTAAGAGCCTGCCTGGATTCAACTTATAAATACATTTTTGACAATTGCTATGATCTCTATTCCCAATTAGTGGATCAGGTAAGGTCAAAATGAACTTGTTTTGTGCTATGGCTCATTGTTGTTGTTAGTTTTGCCTGTTAGTCATTCATTGTTGTTAGTTTGCCTGTAGTAAACAGAAAGCCTTCTGGTGCTCCTTCATGTCAAAGCATTCATATTTTCATTTTATTTATGCATGGAGGAGCAGCATACCATAAAACACCCATAAATAGCTATGAACTCTAAAACGTTTAAGATTAGTTTCAAAATGGATACATTAACCCATAATGTAGTCATCAAGTTGGACATGACTCTGAAATTTCCCAGTGGTTCTGGGGAAGATGACATTTGATTGATTACTGTTCATTTGAGATCTGTAACAGGAAAATAGTTATTTAAAGTCTAACATTTCCCTTCTGTAGCTTTAGGAAAAAAAAAATTTAATTTGCTGAAAGTAATACAGTCTTTCCAGCTTTATATTCTAGCACCAATGATGCATACTTGGATCCAAGCTTTAGTAACTGCTTTAAGAAAGCAGAGGATAATTCTGGAATATTTCTTTATATTAGTCTGTCAGGTTGACCTGTCAATGCAAAATAATTCTAGCATTTGTTGTGTTCCAAATGTCACGCAAAATCCTTGAGAATACTGATTATTTTTTATATAATACAGTCATTCCATGAGTAATGTTAGAATTAATTACTGTCTTAAAGGAGCATCACTTCTTTATCATATTACGTCCTGTACCTTGTATTTCCTTTTTGGATTGTACACTGGAAAAATGGTAGTTCTTTGACTATTCCAGCCTTGACCAGGATTAACTCAGTTCTCTGGCAAATGCATTTTTTTTCTTGTGTATAAAATTAATAAGAACACTTATACTAATGACATAAGACTTCAAATGAAATTTATTAGAAAGCATATTTCACTTAAATCCAGGATATGAATTCCTGTATTTTAGGAAAGGTGATATTTGCTATCTATTCAACATTTCTGAAAAGAATTTAATTGGATTCCTGTTATGTGAGAAAAGTTTGGAAAAAGTAAGAATTTCTCACCAGCACCAATAAGCACTCCACACTTAGTGTTGATGTGTGTTTATCCTACAACAGATTATATTGTAAGCAGAGTAAGAGTATGAATTAGTGGAAGGAGCAGCTTCAGGCATCACATCTATTTACGTCATAAACTGTTCTGTTTTCTTGCTAACATTTACTCTGCAGCAATTTGATCTTGTCTGGTAAATATAATATGAAGTGCTGCTAGACTGGGTATTACATAAGTCTGCAGTTTATCAGTAGATTCTAGTCCTCAGTAAACAGCTAAAAGTGATGAAGTCTTACCTCTGCAAAGCATTGTAACAACTGCAAAAGCTTATCTGTATTCAAAAAAATTGACAACTTTTTAATGTGAATCCATGCAGTCGTTTAACCTGTCTGTTTTAAAATACGGTTTTAAAGTGCAGCGATGTTACAGCTTTTCTGCTGGGTAAAGAATGTAAAACTTGCTTAAGTAAGGATTCTCTCCCAATTATATTTGAGGCAATGTTATTATAGGTTTCTCTCACACAACTCTACTTAATGGTGGAGAAATAAGAAGTCCTGAAATAAATAAATAAAATCCACAAGTATACACTCAGTTGGAAAACTGAGTTAACTGCATTTCACTGTATTTTTGCACCTCTTGAGTCCTCTTTCACAGGAGTTCCAGCAGGGACAGTTTTATATGGAAATTTTAAGCAGGCAATTGTCTGTATAGTTACGATCACCAAGCAATGCAAGAAACTTCAGTGAAGTGTAAAAAGCAAAATTTAAAATAAGTAGATTGCATTCAAAATAATATATTTCTAACAGCAAATCACATCAACAATCAAACAAAAAATTCAAGCAATATATATATATTCTTATCATATATAATCTTAATGCCAGACACTAAAACTTTTTCACAGAAGGTGGGAGACAATTCTGCGAAATACAACTGGCCTAACTTTAATAGAGAGATGAGTAAAATTAATTCAAAAGACCTGAATTCTACATCAACTCTTGAGTTGTACAATGAGAGTTTGTTCAGCTTGATCCACTTAGGCTTTCCTAGCAATATATCCAAAGGTGCATTTGGTTTTAGGAACACTTAAGTATGCAGCTTGTTTGAACCTATGGTCCTGGAGCCTTTCCAATGACTCCAGGTGACTGGCTTGTGGGGCCACTGTTCTAGTAATGAAGCAGTAACCAATATTGTAATTAACATTTCATTAGCTTTGTGTCCAAGCCCGTTAGATTAAACCAGATTCCACCCTTAAGCCTTCCTCAGTACACATTCCCTTATCTCTGCTCGCCTCCCCGTTAGGTGAGGTCTGCTCCTCTCAGAGGGGAGGGAGCTCATCCCAGCGTGGCTCTGCAGCACAGGAGGTTCATGTTTTAGCTGCACAGCTGAGCTTGGAGCTGAGAGTATGGAGAATTGAAATCGATGAGCCCCAAAGCAGCAAGAAATGGTTCTTATGTAGGTCAGCACCTGCTCTCACTCAGGGGAAGGACTGGCAGCTGCTGTCCTGCTGAGGCCCCTGCACGCTCAGGGTGTGTGTCCGTGTGTGACTCGGGGTAACCACCTCCTGCAGCTGCTTTTGGCTGCAACCTAAAAGTCTCATAGATGCCTGCCACAGTATTTCTAGAAAACATGCTTCAGGTCTGATTGTGTGGGATTGTTGAGTTTGGGGTGAAAATAGATCAATGGCTGTTAAAATTGAGGGCACTCGAACTGGAGTTTTTGGATGTTTGCCACTATAAATGCAACAAGTAAATCACAAAGTATGCTCAGCAGTCTCCAATTCCTCTTTTTATTACTCTCTACCTTTGTGTCAGGCAGACAATCGCCATTAAAAAGCTAATGTCTTGCAGCAAAATATCACCCCTGAGGATATTTGCTGGGGTGAAGCATTGCAACTGCTAACAGTATGCAAAAATGTCATACTACAGTTCCACACCGGAATACAAAGAATAGCTGATGGCAAAAACCAATGACTACCACAGACAGTAAAACATGATAGCTTGACAGTCTTACTGACATGTATATTGCTATCCTCATTATTAGAGACAAAGCCCTGTGATGTAGAACTATCAAGTTCCTTATGCAGCTCATGCAGTATTTTCTCTTTTTAATTAACAGTTATCTGAATGAAGTGCTTAGCTGCCCTATGGAAAAAAAAATGTCCTGGAGAAGTAGTTAGGAAGCATTTTGATACCTTTCTGACTCAATTTACAGATATGTCACTCTTTCTATTTTCCTGAGAAAACAAATTTTGAAATCCTGGCTGGTGCTCACAGTGACAGATGTCCCTTCAATAATTCTTTTTGCAGTCTTCTCCACTGAGTGACACCAATGAAATTCAGACCATACCCTTCATGTTATCTGAAGAACTCCTGATCAGTACAGATAATTGATTTTTAGGGTCTCCTGTATCTTCATTGTACTTGTGCCAGTGTGGCACTAATTAGATATATCAGCTATTTAATTTGTTTTCACACTGACAGTTTCTTTTGAATGGGTATAATGAGAGTGAAAAAAAATATCTAGATTGAAATCAAATTTCCACCACTGTTTTACCTCATGATAACAGCACTGCACCAAACCTGCCAGAGTTGGGGAGGCATTTGGAAAATACTGCCAAACACACTGTGTGGTTTTAGGCATTATACTGCGTAGGAATCCAAGAGTTGGACTCTGGCCCCTTCCAACTCAGAGCATTCCATAATTCTATAATGCTTCTACAAAGGTATCTTGATGTACATAAATCAAATAATAGTGCTGACAATAATAAGGTAAAAGAGCTTGAATGATTCTGATCATTTGTAACACCCCAGGTAGATTTTAGGATCAAGAATGGAAATAACATTTCCAGGGATGGGCAGAGTATGCCCTTTCATTTCAGGGCACAAAACTACATCTGTAATGTGAGACTTTTTATAAAATACCTTCTCTGGGACTTTTGAAAAGGTCATACAGATTTTAAGCCCTTTCCAGAGAATTTTTGTAGAAAGGACCTTCTTGTGCAACTATTACTTTATAAATTAGTTACTTTTTGCTATCTTTGTTAAAGAACAGAATTTCACATTGAAAAGGCTGTCTCAGCTGTATGTCACTTGCTGTGAAATACAGTTCTTGGATAAGATGTGGAGCTACATATGAAGTGGCTTTGTCTTCTGCAGCTACCTTTCACTTGGTCTGATTTAACAAGCTTCTAAGAAAAAAATGGTCTATTAGACATACATCCTTAGTACAGAAACAAGGCCTTTTTAGTAAAAATATAATGTATTATATTATAATATAAGGGATTGTATTATATATACACATATATATATGTAGGGAAAGCCTATATATAAGGAAAGCCCTTGTGAGTGACATTAATGCTCTAATGTTCATCTCCATATTGAAAATCTCTCTCATTTGCATGCACAGTTGTTAATTGTTGGTGACACCAGATCCACCATCCTTTGACCTGATTCTGAGCTTTATTTCTATTGCTTTAGACTCTCAGGAGGTACCCTTTGTAGCTTTACTGAGTATGTAGCAGTGTGATTAATGATACTTGTCTAAAATATTCCACAGTAGTCACAAAGTGAGTTTCAAATAGGTGTTGTTGAAATTCCCTTTCTGCCATTCTAAATGCTATTCATAGATAAAAGCTAATTGAGGTTAAAATAACATTTAATTAATTCACTGTGACACTAATACAGTGTTAGGCATATTCAAAAAGATACCAAGTCCACTGTAATAGTCATAGTTGGACTAGGAGTGAGAAATACAGGAAACACATGTTCAAACTTGCAGGATCTCAGGCATGTTTATTTTCTGACTTACCAGCTGAGACCCTTTCAGTCTTACACAGCAGTGTGGAAGAACATGTGTAGATCTAGCCTGAGCAGACATAGCTCTCTGTGGCAGAAATTATTTGTGTATGTGTCCACAGAGAATTAAAAATATTCTTTTCATATTTGGGTCCCTACAATGAAGTTATTTATTGGACTGGTAAGGAATCTGATCCTTCTGCCAAACAAAGGAATGCAAAATGCTTTTGCCTAGAAAATTGTAGGCTAAGAATTCATAAATAAAAACTGTAGAGACAAAGTCTATCTGTAAATGCACATTTTAGTGAAATTTAAGAATGTAAAATTCTCAATAAAATAAAGGGAAATTCAACTGCTTTTTCATTTAGACCACACATCCTAAGCAGCTGTTAGGCTGAATACCTTTAGCATATAATTCAAAACACAACATTAAACACTCCTCAGCGTTGATTTTTTTCAGTCTTTATTGTGTTGGGAATAAAAATTCTACTTCAACAGGCAATTATACCTGTTCTGAGTCTCAGCACAGCAAATAATTTAATAATATATCCAATTATAGTGTGAGCATGCACTAAAAACCAAGTCTCTATTGATCTCCTTTGCTGACATGACAATCTTTGCACTATGGTTCTTTGTGCACAGCCAAGTACAGTTTTTCATACGTTCTGCTCTGTTGCTTAGCCAATCTTCTTATTAAGAAACCAAAAATTCTTAATATGTCACTCTTCCCAATCAAGGAATAATCTATTGGTTGAAGTCCTATAGTATTTTCTCTAATAAAAATATATTCAATCTTGTTTTAACAGAGTAAGAAACAAGAAGTTCCTAAAGAAGAACAGGGACCAACAACAAAGAATTTGGATTTCTGGGCACAGCTTATTACTCTGATGGTCACCATTATAGATGAAGATAAAACAGCATATACACCAATCTTGAACCAGTAAGTAATTACTTTCTCTATAAAAACTAAAAATCATTAATTAATTAAAAATACAGTTAAGAAATACACCTGAATCAGAAGTTGTATTTTAAATAGAATCCAGGTAGATTTTTTTATACAGAATGTAGTATTGACATAGTTTGATAAAATCTTAGTGCTCTGAAAATGTAAAGAAAAGCTTTTGGTTTAGGAACATTAAAGACAGGTGGTATAGGAGTCATCTCAAAACTTTAAGTAGCAAAATATTCTACAAGAGAAATAAATGGATAGAAGGGAAACAGCAGTGACATTTCAGTGAATTTTCAGTGTTATGGTATGAGAGTATTGTGGCACACAGGATGTTCAAATCATGCTGAAACTCTTTTAGGTATGGTTTTTAGGCATGTGATTGTAAAAAACAAAGAACTCCACAAAAAAGATCCTCTCTGAATTTACAATTGGCTGGCCAGACTGACCTGTAAATGTATGAAGTGGAGAGCACTATCCTGGAGATGGAAGTTGACTTCTCAGAACTGAAGATGTAGCAGATGAGGGAGGTACAATCAATAACCAGGACAAGTCAAATAACTTTAGGTAGATACATGAGTAGAAAGGAGAGAAACAATCGATAAATACAGAAAAAGGAGGCAGTGCTGGGTTTGAACACTAAATATATAGAAAGAGTGCAAAGGAACATGTTTCACATATTACAGCTGGAGAAACAGCCCTCACACTAATTGAAATGTGACGTGATGAGGCCCTGGGGAAATGTTCTAGCTCTTTGGAGCCATTTTACAGAGACTGCAGAAAATCTGGGCATAGTCTGGCTGAGATGATTTATGTAAATGTTAACATTGAAACCTACGTCTGTATTATGAATAAACAATTAATAGAGGTTTCTGCAATTGCATTTAATTGAATGCTCTAAAGGGGAGCAGGAACAATCTGTTCTTTTTAGCCACAATAGGGTAGATACTAGAAGGCACCCTGTACATTGCCTGTTGATAAAAGAATGGTACCATTCTATTTATTTAACCACAGTAAAAGTGACAAAGAAACTTCCTGATGATAACCAGAAGGTGAAAGATATTTCATTGACTTCTGACTCCTTCCTTTACTTGAAATAAATAAAGTATTGTTTCACTCCTGGATAATATGCATTTCTTTGTTCAATTGTCTCTTGCACTCATCTTATTGAGGAATAAGTTCTTACCCTGTAGATGAAAGAAAGCACTTTTCCTGTTTACTCCATTTTTATGACATAGTGTTGAGTTTCTCCATTAATGAAAGTTCAACCTTTTGTCTGACTGGCTGTATAAATAATACAGTCATTATAAAATACCTAATTGAGACAAATACATATATGTGATTCATTTCAGTCTCTTCATTGAATTTAAACAAGTGTAATTGCAGGTTAATTATCCTAAAAAATTTTCTAGCTGTATTTTTATACAAATGTGAGGGAGAAAGTAAAGACTTAAAGAATAGAGTTCTTTTAAGGGGATTAGTGGGTTCCCTAAAGTACAGATGAATGATTGTTTAAGATATGAAAAGAGAATCAGAAGTGGACGGAATTGGGACAGATTAAAGGAGAGAGTTTTTGTCTCTGCCTTCTCTCTGGCTTTTGCTGTTGTTTTTTGTAAGTGAAAGAGTGAACACAGGGAATAACATATCTTTTAGAAGTAGGAGACATCAGAAGTAAAAGATGAAGAGGCTGTGTGTGGAAAAAAACTTAAAAAATTGTTCAGAGTTGCTTTGGATACATTTTTTTTAAAAATAAAAGCTTCTCCTAACACAAAAGCACCATGTAAAAACTGGTGAGAAAAAAATAAGACAGCCTCCTCTCCCCTGCTTACCCCAGAAAAGAAAATGGGTTAAAATGGATGAATGGGAAATAAAAGTTGAATACACAAGAATACTGCAAAAATATGACTCCTTATTAGAAATATATGGCCATGCAGTGTCTCAGTGGACTATTCAGACCCACATCCATTGGAATCTTATTTTAGAAATGAGGTGGTTGAAGATCCCCAGGAGACCATTCTGATAAAAGTTTTCACAATTGTATAATATTGCTCAGAATTCTGCTCCTCAGCCAGTTTTGGAAAACCTATTTTTATTTCTACCTTGGAGGCAAAAATTATGCTGTGATTGAGTAGTTTGAACTGCATCAAATTATCAATCCAGATGAAACATGACATGATGGCCTCAGCAAGCGCTGTAGTCACTGACAGACCATACCAGACCACGCAGTGGGAGTGTGGGGGCAACCTGCAGTTCTTACATGACATGAGAAACTTGACAAATTTGAGGGGAAAAACATGGCCTGATATTTAAGTTGTAAAATCCTCATCCTAGAGGTTAAACAATGTAAAATGTGTTTGAAACCTGATTCACAGGCAAATCCAGGGCTTCCTGGCACTTCTAAACTTGCATTTTATGTGGTGTGAGACAGGAGAAATTGCCATCAAAATAAAATATCTATTCTAAAAAAAAGGAACATCAAATTAAGAACAAAATCTTCAACTCAAATATACTTCAGGCCACTGCACTTTTTTTCTCTTTTCTTTTGCACATATACTCAGAACAGTCAACTTGTCACTGTAGTATGAATTTAAGCAAAAAGAAAACTCTGGTAGGAGTCTTAAATTTGTTCTTTACTGATCCTTCGATCATTGCAATGTTAGGATCTGTTTTCTCTGGAGAAAGAAAGAGTTCCACACAGTATGGGAAGGACCAACACATGAAATCTGCAGGAGCAAATTTCCTCATGCTTCAGGAGCTAAGATGTTTAATAACTCTGAAAAGTTGCAGATAATAACTTTTATTGTAGAAACACCATAACTGTAACCTACATGTCAGTGAGTTATAAAACATAGGTGAGTGGAAAAAAAATTATGGAAGGAAGTGAAAAAATCAGAGTACACTGTATCATGTCAGCCTAACTTTAGAATGTTTATTTCATAATGGAATGTGTATCTGATAGGTTTTGTGTCTTGATCAGTGATATTCCCCATTATCAATTACCCTTTATTCTGTGGAGCATATGAATATCACTTCTTTCATTGAACTTGTGAACATTATCCACTGTAACAAAGCTGTTCTCATTCTTTCACCATACCCACTGTAGCTTCAGATGTAACAATGTACAGACAGACACTGCTTAGTTATATAGACTATATACAGTATCTGTCTTGCTCATTACTTCTTCTTCAGGGAAAGGAGTGTTCAAAATAAAGCTTTGGATAGATGAGGATAGAGCAGAAAATGTAAGAATAAATGAGCTCTTTGCTCAGAGTTTAAATAGAATATATGTTTTCCAAAATCAAATAGAACTTTTTTCTTAAGGGTTAGTGAAGCAGTGGCCGTGGCCAGCACTCCACAGATGGTGAGATCTATCCTCATGCTGCATGCACAGCACAAAACTGAATGTATTCACCCCCTAGGACTGGTGAGATTTAGCACCTGGATGAGACTGAAGCCACCAAGTATGGAAAATGAGCTATTCTGAGAAAGTGCATCTGAGGTTCAGAGACTTTGATATTCTCAAAATGTAGCAGACTGGAAATTTGGCAGCACAAATTAAGAAAAAGCATTTTTAATTGTCATGGTAGAATTTTCTGACTTTACAGTTGAACTAGAGACATGTAGTACTGTCTGGGATAAATGCTTTTGGGGGTTATATGTTTTGCTTATACATTCATTATTTTCATTTTGTTTTAAGCTGAGTTCAATTTCCTTCCATTGATCTGTGGTTTTATACATAGCCCTTCATTAGAACTAGCCAATGAGAACTGTTTTCACTAAATTTTTGCTTAATTAAAATCAATGGAGAGAACACATAAGTGGCTGTCTTGTACGTGTAATTTAGTATTTTCGGAAATACCTGGATATGGTCATGTATGGGCAATATAACTGTTCTGGATAAACTGAGATTTAATATAATTCTAAGAATGACATAGAAATTGGGAAAATTATGGTCTATGGGTCAGAAATAACTTTAGCAAGAGCAAGCTAAATGACTGACAGAGCACTCTGCTGGTTGTCCTTTTGCTTCACTGAGAAATGTGAAAATACATGGCTTTTACAAAGATTAGAAAATGTAATATGTAGAGATTTGCTTGGGAAATGTCTCTGATATTTTGCTCCTTAGGGATCAAAATCTGAAGTAGTTTGAAAAAGTTTTCTTACCTACAAATAAGGTGATAAAATTATCTAGATTCTTTAGTATTTGACCCTTGATTATCCCTTTAATAAGACAGCTGCTCCTGTTACCATTTATCTTTAGCATGTAGTTTCCTCTTTCTTACTAAATATTAGTTAATACAAAACCAACACAAATGTGTTGTGTGCTTCTGTTGTATATTAGCTGTGTATTCTCACATACATTAAACTGCAAGGATACCTCTGGTACTCCTCTCATGCCTGTGACTGACAGCTGTGCAATGCCCACCAGTCTGTTAGAACTATAAAAACTATCAATTTTTGACTTCACCTAACTGAAGCCAGGTGGGATGTGTTGAACTAATTTAAACAACATAATAATTGCAGCTTTTGTGTGCATGTGCTTTCACAAGTTAAAATGCCTAGACAAATCTATTTATCCCTAATCAAAAGTGCACTTTTATCAGACCCAGCCTTGCCTTGTGGCCAGCCTTTCAATATGCTCAAAAGACAGTGTCAATATTAAATCAGCTGTTAAATACTTCCTCAGAGCAACACTATCAAAGTTCAAGTCTGGTGCTAAGAGAGAACTCAGGACTGGAGGTAAAGAAATTAAGACAGCTGAAATACATTTCAGCTTTTGAACAGAAATTAATTTTGTGTTAACAGAATTAATATGAAGTTCTTTAATTGAGCAGTCATTAGCATAAAGAGGGCTCAGTGAACTGAGCCAGCAACTGCTTCCTATTAAAGTGGCAGAGCTAATGAGCTGTTTAAGTACTTTTTCTTTGCAGATATGATCAGGGTCAAATAGGTCTCTAAAATTAATACATTACTTAAATCATACTGCTGCTACTTTAAAGTTGCACATAATTCTCGTTCTTTCTATGTCAACAGGACCTTTAAAAATTTTTACGTTTTTAGAGAATATTTTCTGAATTTGATTAGTGCTTTACTAAAAGGTCAAAATAGTTTGGACCCAATTCTCTGCTAGTATAAAGTGTAATAACCTCAACAATAACACAAAAGCCACACATCTCTGTGTATTTCCTCATTAATATATTCCCTTATTTTAAGTATTCTTGGTGAACCGTGGGTGTATTTGTGTGGCTCTCACTGTTCCCCCCTGTGCTATAAACAACTGCTTTACCCCACTGGGAGATTCTGTGCTCTACTTTCTGCTCTTCATCTGCCTTACCTGCCCAGCTCTGCCTCTGTGTCCTGAGAATGGCTCATATTAATGTCAGTTCCACGGCTGCATTAAAGACAGCCCTTTCTATTAGAGAAAAAAATTTGACATAAAACATGGTGTCAATCACTAAAATAACAGCTTTTGCTAGTTGCTAGCAGTGAAAATGGTAACTCAAAGATTAAGGCCTTTCTTTTGCATTGAGTAAGAAGCAGCTGGGATCTGTGAAAAATTTGTGTAAAAATACTTAATTAATAACAGCAGAAAATATCTGAAAAGAACTGTTTCACAAAGATTATATGAATCATGAGACCAAAACTAAAATTTTGAATCAAAATCTGCATTTCACTACTTGTTATATTCTTTATTATTTTATCTGTACATCCAGGTGGAAGTGTTCAGTGAATTGGATTTTATGAGATATAAACCAGTAATACAACTTTACAGACAGCTTCCCTCTTTTCTAGTGTCACAAGGGAATTAAGGAAAACCTGTGGCTGCTAAACATCTGAGCCAACTCTTTCATGTTCTTTATAAGCCATCTGATTTATCTAACGTTGAGGAATTATCTGCAAGATAAATGAATGTTTCTTGATTTAAAATATGACATAAGGGAAGTTTTTATTTGAAGGTTGGATGGTTTACATAATTGTAACAAAACATAAAATACAGTAAGTGCATACTAGGGGAATTGTTTTGTGGAAATATTTGCCTTTTTGTTGTGCAGCTGTAAGCATCATTCCTAGCAGCAGGTGAACTGATGTAATGTGATTGATTGCAGATTCCCTCAAGAGCTGAACATGGGAAAAATCAGTGCTGAAATCATGTGGACTCTGTTTGCCCAGGACATGAAATATGCTCTGGAAGGTAATTAGAATAAACTATTAATTACACTAGTGAGTTCACCAAGACTGATTTGAACTGCAAGTGATACCTGGCATCAGATTTCTGTATGTGGTAAGAGGTTTCTGGTGTACTTGCTTAAGATGCTTTGTAAATTAGTGAAAAAGAAGGGTTATAAGGAATCAGAACATTGCACTGTGAATATATGATGAAGTTATCTGTGAAAGAAGAACACAAAATAATTGTGACTTGAAATGCTGCTTCTTAGATGTGATAAAAATCTTCAGTGTCCAAAGAGACACACATGTGCTTGCTAGAGAGCATTGCAGACACTCCTTTTTCTCACTAGCTAAAAATTGCTAACTTGCCCATAAGGAACATTTGCAGAAAGAAATTATGGAGAAAGCACATTCTTTTAATTAAATCTTTTTGTGTTCAAAAGGCAGGAAGTATTCATTCTAGTTCCAGGAGAATCAAATGCAGTTTCATTTTATCTCTTCAGATGTTGTGGTTAACCATTGTTAAAATATATGGGTTTTTTTAAATAGCAGATTGTCTCCAACTAATGACTTCAAACACACAATAAAATATGGTTATTGCAGCAAACCAAGTAAAAATACCTGGCATAACTGGCATTGTCTTTAGTCAAGTCTGCTACTAATTACAGAGTAAGTCTGCAAAGGGTGAGAAAAAATATATGAGGTTGGATTTAAAATACGATGCAGTTCAACAGGCATAAAGGAAGATTAAAAAACCCAAATATTTGAAGATTCACTTCTATATTATTCTCTCTGGAATGTCTAATGCAATAATATCGGTGCAGTGGTGCTTTGATGACATCACAGATTTTTATGATGATAAAGAGAAAAGATGAGTGGTTAGAATGGCTGTTGATGGAAGAACGTTTTGTCCATCTGCTGTTGTGTTACTCTATTTTGTTGATTGTGTTATTTGAATGTGTAACTTCCATACTAAGCAGAGCAGAGGAAAAAGAGGAGGAAGGAAAGTAATTAAAATACATACAATGACAACAGAAGGCATGGCACATCTTAGATGTGGTAAGAAACTATTGTTTCAAAGTGTTATTCTGTAGTCATGTCAGTGAATCAGAAGTACAAGTCTGAGAAGGAAATCATCCTTTAAGAGTGATCAGTGAAGGTGCAAGCTTTCAAGAGCTGAGAAACATGAAGACCAAGTTAGAGCCACTGGTTAAAGAATATTCCTGGTTCCACTAGTGAAACAACCTATCTGGAGAGGCTGTCAGTCAGGAACAGCTCTCAGAAAACTGCTGTTCAGCAGCTCAGCATTGTGATTCCCTTACAGATAGCACAGATTACTGAAGATTTCTAATATCCAGTTGCCATTTCTAATAGCCAGTTGCCATGACTTCATAACCTTGGGTGTGGAATTATAGTCTGCACACAGACATCCCTGAGCTCGTAGTGCTTTAGCCATGGAACTATAAACATTCTTCAACAAAATCATTCACAAAACATCACTCACACTATTTGCTCATTAGAGCACACTGATGACTCAAAAGGCAGCTTTGGATCAAGCTGTAGTTTGTTTCTTTGTTGTAAGGAATAGAACAAGAAGCTCTTAAGAAAGAGTTAATTATAAAATATATGAAGTGTGGTTGTTTGGACCGAACCAGGACTTTAAAATAAATATTAATGTTAATATTAATCCTAATTCTTCAGAGAGAGATGTAGAAGGCATTTCATTTATGTTCCAGACCATTCCCTGAATGTGGTGTCATTTCTGTGTTGCTGTGGATACTATCTGAGGAGAGGAAATGCCGTTGTTGGCATTAGGAATTCTAAACTGCTCCCAGAAACATTAGTGAAATAGTTCCTGCATATAAATAATAATTAAGGGAAATTGAAATTAGTGCAAGCTATTCTTTTGAAATCAGCATAAATTATTATAAATATACACAATTTCACATTCTATGATTTCATTCCTAAACAGGAACCTCAATAAATCTAGTCACAAAATATAGATCAGTATACTGTTCCTCCACCCACATTTGCTGGGATTTGAATTATTAATTTTTCCATAGATATTCTATAAACTGGGTTTAACTCACTTGTTGATGGCAATAATATTTTTTTCTTTAAATTCTATAAGATTAGAAGCAAGCTCTTAAATACATTCACAGTTGGTCCTCATGGTTTTAATGGAGTTCATTAAAATGCATTGCATTCTGCTATGCCACTCTCGCCTTCCAAGTTATTAACATAGGCTACCATCTGTTCATACCTAGAGTCCAGGGCTGTGATTGCAATCTTTCCCTACTCCTATTTAGAGTTAATCTCCTGAAGCAGCATCTTTTGTGTTACAAAGTTGATTCCTTTCTGCATCCAATCAAGAAGCACTGAACTGGTCCAGCATTGTTTGCAAAAGGATTGCTCGTGTGATGAAAAAGATTACATTAGCTCAACTGAGATCCTGTTTCCAGTTCTACCCACTTTATGTATTCACAAATATATCCAGCCACACCCATCAGTTTAAATTCAGGAAATAAGAAGACAGCAAACACTGGGGTATCATCTTTCCATTCATTTTCCCTTTTTCCTGAGCACAGGTCAGAATGGCTGTTCCGGCTCTCTCCATACAGCTGAATCCCGCCTGGATCTGCTCATGGGGTGTGTGCATTGCAGACTGCTGCCCTCCAGCAGTGCCCTCTGCCCACCTCCTCTTGTAGAACAAGCCAGCAGGCCTGGGAGGGGCACCAGCCAGCACCACACACCCTCTGCTTCTCTTCTCCCTTGGTCCTTGCCAGGACACTCCAGCAAGGAGGCTGCTGCTGTGGCAGGGAGAAGTCAGAGGGGACAGCAGCTGCCATGGCAGTGGTCTTTGGCTAAAGGGCAAAGCCATGTCTCTGAGAGTACCAAGGCAGTAAATTGGCTTTGGGGGAGCAGCTCAGTGTTTTGGTGAGGGAGGAAAGGACATCCCAAAGCACAGTTCAGGTCTGCACAGCTGCCAAGATCAGGGCTACACTGTGCCAAGCTGACATGCCTTGGTAACAAAACTGTACTAAAATCTGGTATTGAGTTCATATTTCATTCTTGATTTTCTTCCAGTTGAAGTTAATTCAAATGTTTAGCCTTTGTGTAGTGTTAAAAGTTTTAGGCAGACTTTAACAAATTGAGTTCACACCAGTTATATTTCTTTTTTCTGGTCTAACGGATTATTTTCATGTATAGATTTTGCTTGAAGAAGGTATCACCTGTTTTTCTTTGAGAATTGGCTTCATTAGATTTGGTCTCTTTGGGGTGTTTTTCTTCTTTGCAGGTTATTCATGAAATATCAGTGGTTTTCATGGTAGATTATAGATTGTTGTTTGGTATTTAGTTTACACAAACATCTGATCTTATAGAATGTTAACATTTTTGTACTGTCTGATCCCCCAATTATTCCATATTTATGATGCAAACAAATGAGAACAGAGAGAGAATTTCACCAACAGTGCATATGATTTGTTACTGACTTCATATGGTAGAAAATCTTTTCCTTTACAAGTATGAAGATGCAAGGGTTAAAAGAGGATGAGAGAGTAATAAGCTGAAATTAGACATGCAATTGCAAAGTATTTTTTTTTATTCTTTGTCATCAGTGTCTTTTTTTAGACCTTTTGGATCTGTAACTTTTGAGTAGGTCAGATCAAATGTCTGAAACTATCCAGTCTGTTAGAAAGAGAACATCTTAATTGCTGTTATTATAGTAATCTAATTCCGGTAGTGGCCAGAAGTCAAGACCAGAATCAGGCCAGAAATTAGTTGGCTGCTGTGTAAATATAGCAATAGACAGTCTCCATCCTGCAGAGCTAGGATTCTAAAGGCCTTATAAAAGTAGGAAAAGGAGGTAGTCATTCCACCATTTTATGAGTTTAATGTAGATTTGCTTTTCAAGTTTGCTGGTGTCTTCAGTGCTTAAGAAGATACTATTTTCCTGTTTCCCTGACAGATACTTCTGTGACAGAAACTGATAAAGTGATTTGAAAGAGGAGAGGCAGGGAGCTGATGCTGAGCACACAGCATAGAAAAAAGCCAAAAAGGCTAGTGCCGCCCAGGGAAAGGTCACGCCATTTGGTGGCAGATTTCAAGTTTATTTTCACTCCAAATTTACAATTTACAAAGTTCCCCTTATGTTGGAATATAGTCTTGGTCTAGGGAAGGCTACAGAGGTGAAGGAAGGTAAGACTGAGGATTTGTAAAGATCAAGAAGGCAGCATCTACAAGAATGCAGGATGTCATCACTATCAAAATATAAAACCTTTTTATTTTAGTCAGTCTCATTTCTGCATTGGCACTTTTCAACAAATGTATTCTGTGCTTATCTTTTCAGACACCTGAGGAATTAAGAGTCCTCTATGGCAACTCAGAGAGTCTGTAAAGGCAAATGAAAGGAGATTACAGTTGGAGTTAAACCTTCCTTTGGCAGATAAGATAGAATGTTGTTGTGATCAGAGGAAAAGGGGAGTTAGAAACGTTCTTTATTCACCTTGACAGACAAGGATGGTAGTAACAGCAGGTACATTCTGTATGTCCTGAGGGGCTGAGCTTTGTGAATGTGAGAATCCACCTGTTGAGGGCAAAGCAGAGCTCTCCAGGCTTGCCTAAAAAGCACCATAGCCATGCCAAATGGCACTATTTTGTTGGAGTTAATTAGACCCAGTAGTTAAGACAGATGAAGTGGACAAAACTGCTCCCATGGGGCTGAGTTAATACTTCTTCATGGATTCATATTGAGCTGTTGCACTGCGTAATCTGACTTGGAACGACCTCAGAGTTCTCTGGTATGGCACAACCTTGTGGTTGGGACTATTATATCTAGAATTTCCTTGTTCTCTAACCCATTTTCTTGGATTTTACACATTGAACCATCATCAGAACACTGAGTAGTACCAAACTACAAGTCTACAGTAATATTAGTAAGCTAAGCTTCTCTGACTGTAGGTGTGTTCATGGTGCCAGATTTACTAGAAAAAATGTAGTGCATCAGTGAATGTCTGACTTCAT